CATGTCATCTTGTGTTCTACATGTCCTTTTGTGTTGTTCCACATGTCCTCTTGTGTTGTTCTACATGTCCTCTTGTGTTGTTCTACATGTCCTATTGTGTTCTACATGTCCTCTTGTGTTCTACATGTCATCTTGTGTTCTACATGTCCTCATGTGTTGTTCTACATGTCCTCTTGTATTCCACATGTCCTCATGTGTTGTTCTACATGTCCTCTTGTGTTGTTCTACATGTCCTCATGTGTTGTTCTACATGTCCTCATGTGTTGTTCTACATGTCCTCATGTGTTGTTCTACATGTCCTCATGTGTTGTTCTACATGTCCTCTTGTGTTCTACATGTCCTCTTGTGTTGTTCTACATGTCCTCTTGTGTTGTTCTACATGTCCTCTTGTGTTCTACATGTCCTCTTGTGTTCTACTTGTCCTCTTGTGTTGTTCTATATGTCCTCTTGTGTTGTTCTACATGTCCTCTTGTGTTCTACATGTCCTCTTGTGTTCTACATGTCCTCTTGTGTTGTTCTACATGTCCTCTTGTGTTGTTCTACATGTCCTCTTGTGTTGTTCTACATGTCCTCTTGTGTTGTTCTACATGTCCTCTTGTGTTGTTCTACATGTCCTCTTGTGTTGTTCTACATGTCCTCTTGTGTTCTACATGTCCTATTGTGTTGTTCTACATGTCCTCTGGTGTTGTTCTACATGTCCTCTTGTGTTGTTCTACATGTCCTCTTGTGTTCTACATGTCCTCTTGTGTTGTTCTACATGTCCTCTTGTGTTCTACATGTCCTATTGTGTTGTTCTACATGTCCTCTTGTGTTCTACATGTCCTCTTGTGTTCTACATGTCCTCTTGTGTTGTTCTACATGTCCTCTTGTGTTCTACATGTCCTCTTGTGTTGTTCTACATGTCCTCTTGTGTTCTACATGTCCTCTTGTGTTGTTCTATATGTCCTCTTGTGGTCTACATGTCCTCTTGTGTTGTTCTATATGTCCTCTTGTGTTCTACATGTCCTCTTGTGTTGTTCTACTTGTCCTGTTTTATTCTACATATTGTATGTCTGTGTTTAATTGATTATAGAACAATGTAATTTTCTCTGTTACTATCACACATTCAGTGATTGAAACATATTTTCTGTATATCAGTGCACACCTCTCCCCCCAGTGATTGAAACATATTTTCTGTTTGCATATTATCAGTACACACCTCTCCCCTCAGTGAAAACCTTCAAGTTCGATTCACTGGTCTTGAGTCTAATTTGTCTAGTTGTTATCATGTATGTAACTATTTTAAGTGCTTTCTCAGACAGGTTCCCGTGTAACTGTGCTGAGTATCCTAAATGCTTATCTAACTAAAGGGTTTCCCCGTGTATGTTGTGAATAGTGCGGGAAAGCCCAGACGTCTGCCTAATGTCTACTGGGCCTGTCGTCAGGTATTTGGCTGACAGAAACTGGGCACATTTCATTTCTTACTGCTACACGACGGTTTACATGCAGACATTGAGTGCTCTTTACATTTTTATTTCTATCGTCAAGCGAACCTGCGATTGTTCTCACGTGGTAAGTTGAATTGTCTTAGCAATCGGTTACATCCATGATGTGATGTTGCCCTACTCTAACACTGCTGCTACCCGTTTAAATCTAGCATAGTCGTTAAGTGCTGTACAACTATGTTAGTTCCCCCCCCCCCCCCCATTCGCCATGGGGAGTGGGGGTTCCTTTTTGTTTTAGCTGTAAGAAAGTGTGTAGACGCTAAAGCTCCGGTACCCATTGTTGTACCTTTGTCAGTTTCCAACATACCCCCCCCCCCCCAAACCAGCTGTTTGTCGCTGCTAATGCGTCATTGAATCCCCTGCCCTGGTAAACAATCAGAGCTATTTAATCGCGGGACTAGACCTTGCTAATTTTTGCCGAACCATTTGTATTTTAAACACCCAGGTCATTGACCACGTCACTTCTTTAAAAAAATGAGTTGAGCACATCGTTGACTCACACACGCAATTCATTCTTTGGTTGACCCAGTGTATTTCCTTAGGGGTCATCCATAAATGACGTCACGCTTTTTTTGGACGATTTTTACCTCCCCCCCTCCCCTCCGTCACAAAAAGCCAGACCCCCCCTAAAATGACGTCACACATCAACCTACAACCCTCCTCAAAATTGCAGTTGAATTTTCTTTAAAACATCGACATTTTTCTAAAATCTTGTGTAAACTAATACAATTTATTAAAACAGTTATCTAAAACGCGAAATAACGTCTTAAATTCGTTTTCTAACATTGCTTTTTATTATGCAAAAGTGTGATGTCGCAACATCTGAACCCCCCCCCCCCCCCCTTAACACATCGTCACAAAATTACGGATCCCCCCTCCCCCCTACGAGTGTGACGTCATTTATGGATGACCCCTTACCTAATGTTGAAGTTAATGATTCTGTATCTCAGTAGCAGTGGGTGGGTGTTAGATCTAGCTAACTATTTGTTTGTAGCACACACTACCATAATTCTTGTTTACACGTGTGTAAGCTTTGGATGTGAAATATAGGGAAATCCAAAATTTGTCACTATGTCGTCAAGTAGGTCAAGGTTTAAGGGGCGGCCACTCTGGTTTGCTGTAAGGCGGCCGTGAATTATCTCGAAATTGTGATAAAATATTTTTTTTTTAATCGGGTGCCATGTTATTAAAATAAATATGATTATACTATAAAACCTGACTTTTTTTATATTTTTCACAGACTTTACTAAAGAATGAATGAATATATTTGATGTTGTAGTATTTTCGGTGACTATAAATATTAAAGGCAAAAAAAAAATTTGGTTTGTTTACATTACATTTAAGATGTAAACAAATGTCTGAACTAGGCTATGTCATGTGGTTAAAAAAAAATTAAAATTTAAATATTGCCATACCCTAACTTCTAAGCATAAGAGGAGACTACACTACTATTAACAACCCACCACACCTATTTTCAGAAGTCATCCAATGCAGGTTAATTATATTTAAAAAAATGTTAATAGGTTATAAATAATGACTAACTAATGACTAAACACTAAAGTTTTATTGACCTAACGAGACTAATCTAGATCTAATATAATTATAAATAAGACAATTTCTCTTGTTAAGAAAAGCTATAAAAGTGGTTGTTACTGACTGAAATGGTAAGCCTCATTCATTAGTGTCATCAAGTGATGCCATTACAATTAACTTCAGTTTCTACATACAAAAGAAAGAAACCCAGGCATACTAGCTTAGCTGCTATTAATATTTTTGTACACAGCTACAGTCATAGGGTCTAGATATGTATATGACTAGCCTAAAAGGTAGAGTAAGAAGACATAAGGTTTGTTTGTGTTGACTTATTGACTGTAGAAAATACGGTTTGAGAGTATTTGCTGTTGTTTTATTTATATTTACTGTATAGCATGTGTGGAGCTTAATTATATCATTGTTGATGTTAAGTAGAAATAAAACCTATATTGGAGAATAACTCATATTGAGTGTTTTGTACTGTTACTTTTGTACAGAAATCAGTACAATGATCCCATCCTTGTCACTAAGAAAGACAGTTGAGTGGAGTTTAGCTGTCATAAGCTAATTACTCCAATTATGTTCAAAATACCTAGAATTACATTGTCATAGAAATGCCTCTTCCAATATTGAAATTTTTATCTTTCCAGTCTCCCTGACTGTGACCCTACCAGTGTCCCTGCCTGTGACCCCTACCAGTGTCCCTGCCTGTGACCCCAAACAGTGTCCCTGCCTGTGACCCCTACCAGTGTCCCTGCCTGTGACCCCAAACAGTGTCCCTGCCTGTGACCCCTACCAGTCTCCCTGACTGTGACCCCTACCAGTGTCCCTGCCTGTGACCCCAACCATTGTCCCTGCCTGTGACCCCTACAGTGTCCCTGCCTGTGACCCCAACAGTCCCTGCCTGTGACCCCTACCAGTGTCCCTGCCTGTGACCCCAACAGTCCCTGCCTGTGACCCCTACCAGTGTCCCTGCCTGTGACCCCAACAGTCCCTGCCTGTGACCCCAACAGTCCCTGCCTGTGACCCCTACCAGTGTCCCTGCCTGTGACCCCAACAGTCCCTGCCTGTGACCCCTACCAGTGTCCCTGCCTGTGACCCCAACAGTGTCCCTGTCTGTGACCCCAACCAGTGTCCCTGCCTGTGACCCCTACCAGTGTCCCTGCCTGTGACCCCAACAGTGTCCCTGCCTGTGACCCCAACCAGTGTCCCTGCCTGTGACCCCAACCAGTCTCCCTGCCTGTGACCCCTACCAGTGTCCCTGCCTGTGACCCCAACAGTCCCTGCCTGTGACCCCAACCAGTCTCCCTGCCTGTGACCCCTACCAGTGTCCCTGCCTGTGACCCCTACCAGTGTCCCTGCCTGTGACCCCAACAGTGTCCCTGCCTGTGACCCCAACCAGTCTCCCTGCCTGTGACCCCTACCAGTGTCCCTGCCTGTGACCCCAACAGTCCCTGCCTGTGACCCCTACCAGTGTCCCTGCCTGTGACCCCAACAGTCCCTGCCTGTGACCCCTACCAGTGTCCCTGACTGTGACCCCTACCAGTGTCCCTGCCTGTGACCCCAACAGTCCCTGCCTGTGACCCCTACCAGTGTCCCTGCCTGTGACCCCAACAGTGTCCCTGCCTGTGACCCCTACCAGTGTCCCTGCCTGTGACCCCAACAGTGTCCCTGCCTGTGACCCCTGCCTGTGACCCCTACCAGTGTCCCTGCCTGTGACCCCTACCAGTGTCCCTGCCTGTGACCCCTACCAGTGTCCCTGCCTGTGACCCCTACCAGTGTCCCTGCCTGTGACCCCTACCAGTGTCCCTGCCTGTGACCCCTACCAGTGTCCCTGCCTGTGACCCCAACAGTCCCTGCCTGTGACCCCTACCAGTGTCCCTGCCTGTGACCCCTACCAGTGTCCCTGCCTGTGACCCCTACCAGTGTCCCTGCCTGTGACCCCAACAGTCCCTGCCTGTGACCCCTACCAGTGTCCCTGCCTGTGACCCCAACAGTCCCTGCCTGTGACCCCTACCAGTGTCCCTGCCTGTGACCCCAACAGTCCCTGCCTGTGACCCCAACAGTCCCTGTCTGTGACCCCTGCCTGTGACCCCAACAGTCCCTGCCTGTGACAGTGTGAGCTCTCAGCATGGACCAGGACAAGGAGCAGATGATGGCCCTCCTCAGATCCTACTCCACAACCATTGACCCCAGCAGCACCAGGAGCAGCATCAACCTACCCACAGCTCACCTTGGCAACCTGCCCAGCTCCCAGATCCACGGCTCCCAGATCCACGGCTCCCACATCCACAGCTGTCCCACTAGCATCAACCAGCTGGACGGCTGCAGTTCACACACAGTCCATGGGCTGGACCATAAACCAAAGCAAGTAGACTAGATTCCCTCTAGGTTTTCTTTTACTGCATTCTATATCCTCTGCTTTAATAAGATTTGAACAAAACTTGAGCTCACCACTTGCCAGTAATTGAACAAAATACAATTCCTTCAAACTTTTTTCATGCTGATTGTTTTTCTGATCCCAACTGCAAATATCAGACTGGCAACACCAGCTCAAAAATGTCTTGTATTTTTAGTGCCGTGCTGGAGGCCAGGTCAGGTGAGTCCACTGGGGAGCAGCTCTTCTGGCAGTCTGACCTTGACATTGAGAAGGACATGAGCAACACCTGCAGAATCTGCCAGGTGCCAGGAGAGAAGGACGACATTCTTGTGTCTCCATGTCGCTGCTCAGGCACTCTCAAATATGTGCACTACTTTTGTTTGCTGGTAGGTCCTAAAAGTTGGGACATGAAGGAGGTCCTACAAGTTATTTAGGTGCCATAACTTCTGGGTAAGCTAGATCATTATCTACCACGTTGTGACATAGCTATGCACTACAAGCCATCCCCTTTGACCTCCCCAGAAATGGATTGACTATTCCAGCAGAAAGACAACAAGAGCTCCCATGTGTGAACTTTGTCACTTTGTTTACATCCGACACAAACGATTCAAAGTAAGTTTTTTTTTTTACCTGGGCTATTTTCTTGTAATTATTCAACATGCAGACAGTAATTAAAGACATCTTTGATGGTTACATTCAGGTAAGACATGTCTTTAGTGCCTGAATGAGCAGTTGAAATGTGAGTTAACACACGTGTCATCTGTAGTTTCAGTGCCACGGCTTGCGTTGGCCACGCGTGTCCAGCAGAGACAAGTGTCTGCACACCATCTTCCTCTTCACACTCCTCCTCATGATCAGCTGCGCGGTGGCCACTGTCCTCTGCTTCCTGTCTGACAATGGCCAGGCAGCCGAGAGCAAGTCTCAGCTCAGCACGGAGGAGATCATCACGCTGACCAGTGGGGTCTTCTTCTTCATCTCCTTCTTCATCGCCATGACTGTGGAGATCAAGGCAAGACACACGCTCTACAGGCTGTTTCACAAATTTCTCTTGAATAACACAGAGTGGCAGATAGAATCCTATGACAAGACCAAAGATGTGACCCAGACGTGACCACCACATGCTTGCTTGGTCTCGGCCCAACACTAGTGTGCCAGGTTAGAACTGTCCTGTTGGATGGAGAACCCTTGGGTCTGTTGTCATATACAGCATTTCCTCAACATAAACAACAGGCAATTAAAACATGGATGGCAGATCAGGATAGTCAGCATCATTGCTTCTATACTTGAGCAAATGATTTGCCATACAAACTAGATATCCTGGAAACACCACTCTTATATTTCAACTTTCCACTTGACATATGTCAAGTTGAATACCACTTAGATACATGTGAACTAACTGCAATACTTCAATGTTAGATGAGAGCCACTTGTGTGTCTGGTCAACTCCCTGCCTCTCCTGTGGTGATCTTTGAAAGACTTTAAAAAGCTTGAATGTCTGGTCCTCTCAGGTGTTTGAGTTGCACCTTTCTGGCTGGTAGTGCTAGCCAGACCATTGGTTGCTAGCCAGACCATTGGTTGCTAGCCAGACCATTTTGGTTGCTAGCCAGAGCATTGGTTGCTAGCCAGAGCATTGGTTGCTAGCCAGACCATTTTGGTTGCTAGCCAAACCATTGGTTGCTAGCCAGATTGGACGCAGCAACTCTCTGGGTTAGGTTTGCAATCAACAGGGGTAATGTCATTAGTTTCCTACTGTAGCAGTCAACAGGTGTAATGTTATTGGTTACCTCCTGTAGATTTGTTGGGCAGGGGACTTATCATGGGTATATCTCCTATAACTACTAACAACTTAGCGCCAGTTAAAACTTGGCCTTACTAACAAGAAATAATTAACCCAGTTTTATGCAACTGTCTGCATAGGAACAATAATATATTTTTTAAAAATGCAACACTTTGTTTTGAAATATTGGAAGCAAAAAAAATTTCAAAGGTGCTTAAAATTTCAGCTTTCTGTTATTTGTTCATGAAGTATTTCTCTCCCAGAAAACAGGTTGTCAACTCCTTGAATAAAATGACCAGAGACTATATAATTTCAGCATAAATTACATACCCAAGTCTTTCATTTGTCTGATTGTAGCAGAAAAAAAAATGTGTTTGATTAAACTTGAGCTGAATACAATTGTAAATGTCAACACTCCATTGCTTGTAACTTAAACAGTGTAAATATTTGTTCCATTCTTGATGACTTTTCTATGTACTTGTTTCACTTGTATTAGTGTAGACTTGATACTATAATAAAATTGTATTACCTTTTGTAGAGCTTCACAACTTTTCTTACATACAGCCATGGCTTCTATTCATTCACAAAATATATGTAGCTCAATGCTTCCAATGGTTGAATGTGCTGAACATCAAGCTTGATATAAGCCAGAGATGCTGAACATATTTGTTGTCTACCAGCATCAAGCTTGAGGACATATTGCTAGAATGAGTACCATTTGTCTACTTCTCTATGATATATTGTTGTTGCCCAGTTGGAATGATCCTGTTGTTGCCATTATGGAGATAGAGTTGTGGAAACTTTAAAAATGAATGACGTGGCAACATGATGCTCTAAATGATTTATTTCCAAAATTTCAGTAGCAAAGTCATAAGAAATGTAAAGGGAAGCCAGTTGTCATAGAGCACTAATTCTATGACAGACAGCTGCAAGAAATGTCTCACGTGGATTGTCAGGCATACAATAAATACAAATCTGATCATCAAACAATTTTGTGGAGTCACGGAAAATAAAAGTACACATTTTACTACAGACGTTTCCCAACAGAGTTTGTCTACACCAACATGGAATGTGATGGATTTGGACCATCTTTTTTTTTACTGGGCTCCATAATGTCAAGCATCATAAGGCTACACAAATTGTCCACATTTTATGACCTGATTTCACTAAACAAAGAAAAATAACAGCACACAGTTGAACAAGTAAAAAAAAAAACCAGTAGAACATTTGATCTAGATTATAAAAACACTCAAATCACAGCTGATGGAAGTCTGAATGTGATGATGACAGAACATGATCTAGATTATAAAAACATTCAAATCACAGCTGATGGAAGTCTGAATGTGATGATGACAGAACAACATGGGAGCACCCCTGTACAGTACTAAGTCCCACCACTCCCCCCCCCCCTACTATCAGCTAAGCTAGTACCAAGTTGTTTACACAGTAGACCAGCTACTCCACCAACACTTGTCAACTTGACCTTTGAACTTTCTAAAAGACACTGCCGTTCCAACCATTAATAGATTTCTCAGTTTGTCGGCAACCAAATCAAAATATATATACGAAATTTTAAAAAATATATTTCAATGCTTTCATTAAATTAAATTCAGACTCAATATTTTGGTAAAAATAAATAAGGCACTTCTCAAATTGACACAAATCTGACAGATCCGTAAAGGGAACATATTAAAACCTTAGACATTAGCTTCAGAAAAAGGGATATAAATCTCATAAACTAATCACCTATGTAACCCTCTAGAAAAAATCTTTACAAGTAAAAGAAATCTGGTTTGTGGTCACTTTACAAGATAAATATTTTTTTTGTACAAGCTGCATGTAATAGTACAAGAGAGAAAAATATCTGGTACAAAAACTAAAAAACATAAATTATACGTAGATCAAGAGCCAAACTCAGATGTTTCTTCTGTGATTGGTTTAAATTCATAATAGCCACGCCCATCCATCTTCAGATAGTACTGAGAAATAAAAATAAAATATTTGACAATACTTGAAACTAACAAGACAGTGTCAAACTAAAACAGTGACAATACATCAGCAAGGGACATAACTTACCTCATGATGTTTCCATAAGGATTTTCTATGAGAAACTGTAAACAAAGTGATTCCAACCTAAGATAACAAGTGGCAATATAAGAAACACTGACTTTGTGTTATACAAAACTTTTTGTATAACTCTAATAAAAATAATATAATAAAAACATTAAATTGGTACACTCAAAAACCAGCATAATGTAAGCAAAGGTAAATGATCAATTTATCATATGCTAGCTGTCAGTACCCATTATGTGAATTATAGGCCCAATAATTTAACATTATACATGTTTGAGAAAAAAATATTTTATAAAAATAGTTATTGTTCAAAACATAATTTCAACTTATTCAATTTATTTATTCAATGATGGTAACAGTAGTAGGCACGGAGGCTTTACTATACATTGATATTACTGACAGAGCAAAGAAATAACTAAATTGCTAAAAATCCAACACATTTTAAAATAACATAGGCTACCAATACCTATTAGAAAAATTAAAGCCAAATTATATACATTATTAGTCAACACAACACCATATTAAATGCACACACTGATTAAGAGACTTAAATGATTCCGTTAAAAACTCGGATGTTCAATGATATTTACGTTTTTTTTTAAAAGTAATTTGTATTACTTTTGGCCGAGAAAATTGTGTACATTTCAGGGTGTAGGGCTATGTTTTGATAAGTAGATCTATAGCTTTAAATCAAATTTGAATTAGATAGCTCATTTCTTCATATTCTAAAATTGGTTTTGTGTACTTTCCGTAGTTTATACATGTGACGTCGTTTATTTATTGCTTTCTTGTCACAACAATAATCACTCTTCCAGTTGCATAATTAAAAATGTGTTTCTACACAAATATGCTTTTATTTTTATTTTCCTTCTTTAAATAAAATTTAGTTTATACATTTAAAACATCCAACATATTATTTTCAACAAAAGTCTGTATCGTTAAGTTCTCCATATATTGCTGAACATACTGATTACATAGCCTCAAAAATGTTGTGGACAGAGAGAGAGAGAGAGAGAAGTTCGCATATGGGATTTTATATATTAGGATAACATTGCATTAAATGGCTAAATTATTTTATATTCAACCAACTGTTGATAGTTCTCCATGATTCACTAAATGCATTTTTGAAAGCCATTTCATCATTTTAATTTTGATCTAGAGTTAGCATTTAAAATCTTTTTAATGAAATAAATGACACATGACTTAGGTTTTCACCAGTAAAAAAATAATTAATGGAATTGTGAATAACGTTTAATCAAATAATTTAAATAAATTAACTGAACTGATTTCTGAATATTAAGTTAAAGCTGTTTATTACTACAGTTACACATCTCTATTATTTAATTTTTTCTGAATCAAATAGCATTTTGATAGTTAAAACTGGATCATTTTTACTACTCTGGGGTAAATTTTGTATTCAGAATCTATATATATTTTAAAATAACAGTAATAACAGTAGTAATTTCATGCTAGATTGTTCAGTACAATGTCTTATACGTGTTAGACATGTACATTGTTTTAAAATAAGGAAACACTTTATTTACTGTATGCATGTTTTAAATGTTCAGTTTGGAAAATTTCAAAAAGTTCCCACTCACCTCACGGCTATGTTGATACATGTAGCCTTCAACATCCACACTCACAGCTGAGGTGCACTCATCCAATATGGCAAACTGTGGTTTGTGGTAGAAAAGTCTGGCCATCTGTCAATAGGAATTACAGTGGTCTATACTAGTCTCAGATTTTTGTGGTAGTTACAGTGGTCTATACTATTACTAGTCTGGCCATCTGTCAATAGGAAGCTATGGTCACCATATAACAAAAACTTACAGCTATGGTCACCATATAACAAAAACTTACAGCTATGGTCACCATATAACAAAAACTTACAGCTATGGTCACCATATAACAAAAACTTACAGCTATGGTCACCATATAACAAAAACTTACAGCTATTCTTTGCTTTTCTCCTCCACTTAGCACATCCATCCAGTCCTGAAACAAAAAATATTTGACTGTGGTGACTTATCCTAACACAGAAACCACTGATACAGATGACATAGAAACCACTGATACAGATGACATAGAAACCACTGATACAGATAACATAGAAACCACTGATACAGATAACATAGAAACCACTGATACAGATAACATAGAAACCACTGATACAGATAACATAGAAACCACTGATACAAATGACATAGAAACCACTGATACAGATGACATAGAAACCACTGATACAGATGACATAGAAACCACTGATACAGATGATATAGAAACCACTGATACAGATGACATAGAAACCACTGATACAGATGACACAGAACCACTGATACAGATGACAGAAACCACTGATACAGATGACATAGAAACCACTGATACAGATGACACAGAAACCACTGATACAGATGACATAGAAACCACTGATACACCCATGAGATGACACTTACCTGAACAGCCTCCCAGCCCCCTTCTCTCTCCAGTATATGGGTCAGTTGAACCTTGAGAAGAGAAGGAAGTGTTAGTGCTAAGACAGGCTACTCTGTCAGACAGCTGTAAGACAGGCTACTCTGTCAGACAGCTGTAGGACAGGCTACTCTGTCAGACAGCAGTAGGACAGGCTACACTGTCAGACAGCTGTAGGACAGGCTACTCTGTCAGACAGCAGTAGGACAGGCTACTCTGTCAGACAGCTGTAGGACAGGCTACTCTGTCAGACAGCAGTAGGACAGGCTACTCTGTCAGACAGCAGTAGGACAGGCTACTCTGTCAGACAGCTGTAAGACAGGCTACTCTGTCAGACAGCTGTAAGACAGGCTACTCTGTCAGACAGCTGTAGGACAGGCTACTCTGTCAGACAGCTGTAAGACAGGCTACTCTGTCAGACAGCTGTAAGACAGGCTACTCTGTCAGACAGCTGTAAGACAGGCTACTCTGTCAGACAGCTGTAAGACAGGCTACTCTGTCAGACAGCTGTAAGACAGGCTACTCTGTCAGACAGCTGTAAGACAGGCTACTCTGTCAGACAGCTGTAAGACAGGCTACTCTGTCAGACAGCAGTAGGACAGGCTACAACATACAAACATCACTTGAAATATTCTTTTTACCCCACTACCAGTATGAGATAAGTTGGCTTACTTTTACCAACACCACTACCAGTATGAGATAAGTTGGCTTACTTTTACCACCAACACCACTACCAGTATGAGATAAGTTGGCTTACTTTTACCAACACCACTACCAGTATGAGATAAGTTGGCTTACTTTTACCAACACCACTACCAGTATGAGATAAGTTGGCTTACCTTATCCAGAATTTCAGCCAGATCCTCATCCCTCACCCCTTTCTTCAGCTGTTCTGCATGATTGTCAGGGTAGATCACTTGGTCCCGAAGTGTGCCAACTGCCATATAAGGGCGCTGAAATAAATGCACATTCAAGTTTACCTAAACCCATTGTCTCTTGCTGAAGCAGCTGATGCAGGTATGTATGTCAAATAGGCCAAAAAAAAATTTTTTTTTGCTAGTTTAGCCTAAATGTACTATCATATATGCTGTTTTATCAGAAAATCTCTGGCTATTTAAAAAAAAAAAACAAACACAATTTGTGTTTCTTTACTACCCTTTTTAATTTTAGCAATAAGTGAGAAACACTAATTTCAATGATATAGGTCTAATTATTTTTGTTGGGGTTGTTCTTGTTTTTGTTAAGTTCAAAAGATTGAACTTGTGTCATATACTTTGACAGATATAACCCCAAAACATGGCACTGTTTAGGATGTCGAGAAAAAAAATTAAAACACCAGTTTTTTAACGTTATAACTTTTTTACTACTTGAGAAATATGAACCAATTTGGTACCCACTATCTTAGAATCTTGACATAACAACTTTGAAAAAATCAGTTCGGCATACCTAGTTTAAAGATAACTTAAACCTATTTGTATTTACACTAAAACTATATGTGGTTTAGTATTCGACATGTCGCCATAATCAGAATTCAGAGAAGGGAGAGATCAGAGCCAAGTGAATAATTCAGATACAGCACTGCATTACATCATTGCTGAAACTATTAAACAGTTGCAGCAACAGTTGACAATGTGTCTAGGTGGGCGTGTAACAGGTCTAACTACAGTAACCTTCACACTATCACAAACATTTATAGATACCCTCCATAACAAGAGCAGCTAGATGATAGCTGTAGGATGACAGACAGGACAGCTGTAGGATGACAGACAGGACAGCTGTAGGATGACAGACAGGACAGCTGTAGGATGACAGACAGGACAGCTGTAGGATGACAGACAGGACAGCTGCAGGATGACAGACAGGACAGCTGTAGGATGACAGACAGGACAGCTGTAGGATGACAGGACAGCTGTAGGATGACAGACAGAACAGCTGTAGGATGACAGACAGGACAGCTGTAGGATGACAGGACAGCTGTAGGATGACAGACAGGACAGCTGTAGGATGACAGACAGGACAGCTGTAGGATGACAGGACAGCTGTAGGATGACAGACAGGACAGCTGTAGGATGACAGACAGGACAGCTGTAGGATGACAGGACAGCTGTAGGATGACAGACAGGACAGCTGTAGGATGACAGACAGGACAGCTGTAGGATGACAGACAGGACAGCTGTAGGATGACAGGACAGCTGTAGGATGACAGACAGGACAGCTGTAGGATGACAGACAGGACAGCTGTAGGACGACAGGACAGCTGTAGGATGACAGACTTACCTGGGGGACGTAGAACAACTTTCCCTTCTCTGGTTTGGTCAATGTCCCACCAAACAATGGCCACAGCTGAAACAAACAGATCAGATGGTGTAGGAAAAACAAACAGATCAGATGGTGTAGGACAAACAAACAGATCAGATGGTGTAGGAAAAACAAATACATCCCAACCATTTATCCCTGTATGGTGACTCACCTCTCCCAATATCCTAAACATTTAGCCCTGTATGGTGACTCACCTCTCCCAATATCCTAAACATTTAGCCCTGTATGGTGACTCACCTCTCCCAATATCCTAAACATTTAGCCCTGTATGGTGACTCACCTCTCCAAATACCCCAACCATTTATCCCTGTATGTTGACTCACCTCTCCCAATATCCTAAACATTTAGCCCTGTATGGTGACTCACCTCTCCAAATATCCTAAACATTTAGCCCTGTATGGTGACTCACCTCTCCCAATATCCCAACCATTTATCCCTGTATGTTGACTCACCTCTCCCAATATCCTAAACATTTAGCCCTGTATGGTGACTCACCTCTCCCAATATCCCAACCATTTAGCCCTGTATGTTGACTCACCTCTCCCAATATCCTAAACATTTAGCCCTGTATGGTGACTCACCTCTCCCAATATCCTAAACATTTAGCCCTGTATGGTGACTCACCTCTCCCAATATCCCAACCATTTATCCCTGTATGTTGACTCACCTCTCCCAATATCCTAAACATTTAGCCCTGTATGGTGACTCACCTCTCCCAATATCCTAAACATTTAGCCCTGTATGTTGACTCACCTCTCCAAATATCCTAAACATTTAGCCCTGTATGGTGACTCACCTCTCCAAATATCCCAACCATTTATCCCTGTATGTTGACTCACCTCTCCCAATATCCTAAACATTTAGCCCTGTATGGTGACTCACCTCTCCCAATATCCCAACCATTTATCCCTGTATGTTGACTCACCTCTCCCAATATCCTAAACATTTAGCCCTGTATGGTGACTCACCTCTCCCAATATCCCAACCATTTAGCCCTGTATGTTGACTCCCCTCTCCCAATATCCTAAACATTTAGCCCTGTATGGTGACTCACCTCTCCCAATATCCTAAACATTTAGCCCTGTATGGTGACTCACCTCTCCCAATATCCCAACCATTTATCCCTGTATGTTGACTCACCTCTCCCAATATCCTAAACATTTAGCCCTGTATGGTGACTCACCTCTCCCAATATCCCAACCATTTATCCCTGTATGTTGACTCACCTCTCCAAATATCCTAAACATTTAGCCCTGTATGTTGACTCACCTCTCCCAATATCCTAAACATTTAGCCCTGTATGTTGACTCACCTCTCCCAATATCCTAAACATTTAGCCCTGTATGGTGACTCACCTCTCCAAATATCCCAACCATTTATCCCTGTATGTTGACTCACCTCTCCCAATATCCTAAACATTTATCCCTGTATGTTGACTCACCTCTCCCAATATCCTAAACATTTATCCCTGTATGTTGACTCACCTCTCCCAATATCCTAAACATTTATCCCTGTATGTTGACTCACCTCTCCAAATATCCCAACCATTTATCCCTGTATGTTGACTCACCTCTCCAAATATCCCAACCATTTATCCCTGTATGTTGACTCACCTCTCCCAATATCCTAAACATTTAGCCCTGTATGGTGACTCACCTCTCCCAATATCCCAACCATTTAGCCCTGTATGTTGACTCACCTCTCCCAATATCCTAAACATTTAGCCCTGTATGTTGACTCACCTCTCCCAATATCCTAAACATTTAGCCCTGTATGGTGACTCACCTCTCCCAATATCCTAAACATTTAGCCCTGTATGTTGACTCACCTCTCCCAATATCCTAAACATTTAGCCCTGTATGGTGACTCACCTCTCCAAATATCCCAACCATTTATCCCTGTATGTTGACTCACCTCTCCCAATATCCTAACCATTTAGCCCTCTATGGTGACTCACCTCTCCCAATATCCTAAACATTTAGCCCTGTATGGTGACTCACCTCTCCCAATATCCCAACCATTTAGCCCTGTATGTTGACTCACCTCTCCCAATATCCTAAACATTTAGCCCTGTATGGTGACTCACCTCTCCCAATATCCCAAACATTTAGCCCTGTATGTTGACTCACCTCTCCCAATATCCTAAACATTTAGCCCTGTATGGTGACTCACCTCTCCCAATATCCCAAACATTTAGCCCTGTATGGTGACTCACCTCTCCCAATATCCTAAACATTTATCCCTGTATGGTTACTCACCTCTCCCAATATCCTAAACAAAGAACTCTTGCCACATCCATTTGGTCCACAGACAAGCACATTTTTCCCTGAAGAAACCTGAAATTTTTTATTTACAACTTTAACATTAGGCTGAATACATTACTACTTATTGTTAGAACACTTGATGTAAGATAGGGGACAATACTTGATATTAGAGTGGGGACCATACTTGATGTTACTATCTCACCTCAAAACTGAGTTCTTCTATCAAAACATCTCCATTAGGGGTTACAAGAGGAACTTTGTCAAACCTGAGGAAAAAAATAACTTTGTAATAACTTGAAGCATGTACCATTATGTTCTACAAACGTATGTAGATACACATCACACATATGTATGTGGACAAGGCACATGTGGCCATGTTGGTGTCACAGGTACGTACTTGATGATATGATCTTTGATGATGATGGACCCATTGCCTGGTTTCAGTGCTAGAGACTTGAGATTGTTGCTGGAACCTAGGTAAACAAGTTGGTTCAGGTCAAACTTACATCATACGTTCACATAAAGTCATTCTAATGGCTAAATACACAAGTTGGTTCAGGTCAAACTTAAATCATACGTTCACATAAAGTCATTCTAATGGCTAAATACACAAGTTGGTTCAGGTCAAACTTAAATCATACGTTCACATAAAGTCATTCTAATGGCTAAATACACAAGTTGGTTCAGGTCAAACTTAAATCATACGTTCACATAAAGTCATTCTAATGGCTAAATACACAAGTTGGTTCAGGTCAAACTTAAATCATACGTTCACATAAAGTCATTCTAATGGCTAAATACACAAGTTGGTTCAGGTCAAACTTAAATCATACGTTCACATAAAGTCATTCTAATGGCTAAATACACAAGTTGGTTCAGGTCAAACTTAAATCATACGTTCACATAAAGTCATTCTAATGGCTAAATACACAAGGTGGTTCAGGTCAAACTTAAATCATACGTTCACATAAAATCATTCCACGTTTTTTAAAATCTGGATGCCATGGGAAATGTGGGCGGTTACCTCGGCTATTCTCTGAGTTGACCATAGTCCTTTCATAGCGGCCCATGTTTAAATCATCCAAAACTTTCATCAAATCTGTCACTCTGGCAGTAAAGCTGAAGAAAAAATTCAAAAATAAATGTCAACATCAATTCTTGCAGGAAGTGTGTGCAAGTTTTTTGTGTAAATAAATGATGGTGACTTTGTGCAGCTAGCCAATAGTACATACCCAGCCAGTCTTGTTAACTCACGTCCAGCCAACACTATGCGACCTATAGCTTCAGCCATCTTTACCAACATGCGACCACTTTTAAAATAATCCTGACAGGCAAAAAAAAAAGATTTCAAGCTAATTCAAAATGTGGATACATTTTTAAAAAAGGAATTTGGACTATATACTGACCTCCAACATGACTTTAGCCAAATAAACTGACCACAACATTCTAGCAGTCCACACCATATGAACAGACAGTAAATCAATTTCATTCAACACCGTGCTAGCTAAGGGACCACTGGATTAGGAAGATACCCACCTCTAATCGTTCGCTGTGGGTAGAGTTGAGGTGTCGTGGATGTGCCAGGTTCAGGAATGGTCGACTCACTACTAAGTACCCCACCACAGTAGCAATATCTGTACACAGAGACTGGTGTTAGCAAGCTCAACTTTTTAAACTTTACACCACAGTAGCAGTATCTGTACACAGAGCTGAGACTCAACTTTTTAAACCTTACACCACAGTAGCAATATCTGTACACAGAGACTCAACTTTTTAAACTTTACACCACAGTAGCAATATCTGTACACAGAGACTCAACTTTTTAAACTTTACACCACAGTAGCAATATCTGTACACAGAGACTCAACTTTTTAAACTTTACACCACAGTAGCAATATCTGCACACAGAGACTCAACTTTTTAAACTTTACACCACAGTAGCAATATCTGTACACAGAGACTCAACTTTTTAAACCTTACACCACAGTAGCAATATCTGCACACAGAGACTCAACTTTTTAAACCTTACACCACAGTAGCAATATCTGTACACAAAGACTCAACTTTTTAAACCTTACACAACACATCAATGCCAACCTTACATTTAGCAATAACACACAACACATCAATGCCAAACTTACATTTAGCAATAACACACAACACATCAATGCCAAACTTACATTTAGCGATGATGTTATCAACGAACCCCATCTGAATACGGAAGTGGATGAATTGACGAAGGTGATCCACCTGTTCAATAAATTAGTGGAGATCATTAAACACCAGAATTTGTTTGACAATAAATTGACTTATGATGTTACTAAGTAAGAACTGACTTACAAGTTTATTGAAAGTGCCACTGATGATAAATTTTTCCCGACTGTTTCCCTGATAAAAGGCAATCTCTTCACTGTGGAATTGAAAACTTATTTAATAATGTCATATTCAATGATTGAAAGTTGTTTTTACAAGCTTTTATTTAACTTGTTTTCTTTGTCTGTCTTAATCCTGTTTGTCTAGATTGAAACGGTAGAGCAAAATTTTGGGCACATGTGTCAAGACATGATGACAATGCAATCTGACATTAAATTTGACTTAATTGGATACCGAATTAATTTTTCAATGAATTAATTACAATTTTTTTAAAATCAATGGGCAGTCTTATCCAACTATTCCACACAATTATATGCGCTTTATCATGTTCATTAGGTGTGTGATAGTTTTTAGTTATGCAACTCTATTGTATTAAAAATTTACACTACTGAATTTTTTTTCCCATAAAAAAATGTTTTAATAACAAGCTAAAATGAAGAAAATAAATGATTTAAAAAAAATCTATATATATATAATTCTCTTCTGGGAGACGCTAGAAAACAAGCTGTAAGTGCGCTCCCTACCTCCCCATGGTCTGGTGAGCTGTGGTTCACGCTAAATGTTTACATTCGTAGAGCCGGGTTTAGTGACGGCTATTAGGGGCAGATACTTTAGTTTGAAATGATTTTAAACTTAGGGGAGGTAACTAAAAGGAGGCTGCTTTCACTAGGGGGGGGGGGGGGGTGTAGTGTAGGGGTTGGGGGAAAGGAGGGTGGGGGTAGTATCGTCCTTATTGATAGTGTTTTAAAGCAAATATTTTCAGTGGCAGCATTAGTACTGTCAAATTCACAAATTATGAATTACTGAAAAGTAGAAAATAAAACAACTAAATAGCGGCGTATGATATGCCGCGGGTCGGCTCGTATATAATAATACACTACTATTTAAATTACAATACAGAAAAGCATGTGTCTCTTCCTAAATATAATTAAAGGATTCCAATATATAAGAGAGTGACATACACTTTTCTTTCTAGTGTATTATAATATATTTAAAGAAAATTATTTATTTTCTCCTTTTAATTTAAGTGCATTATTACATAAAAGCTTATTTTTAAAACATTTTTATGCTATTTTTTATAATGTTATATTCAGTGATTGAAAACTGTTTTATAATGTTATATAAATAAGATAGATTCAATGATTGAAAGTTGTTTTACAATGTTATATGAATTAACTGAAAATTAATTTTTTTATGTTATTCAATTCTTATTTTGAGGAAAGTTCATTCTAGAACTTGAGTTAACCAACCTGTTAGTGATGAGCCTAGAGTTGACCTACCTGTTGGTGATGAGCCTAGAGTTGACCTACCTGTTAGTGACGAGCCTAGAGTTGACCTACCTGTTGGTGATGAGCCTAGAGTTGACCTACCAGTTTGGTGATGAGCCTAGAGTTGACCTATTTGTTGGTGATGAGCCTAGAGTTGACCTATCTGTTGATGATGAGCCTAGAGTTGACCTACCTGTTGGTGATGAGCCTAGAGTTGACCTACCTGTTGGTGATGAGCCTAGAGTTGACCTACCTGTTGGTGATGAGCCTAGAGTTGACCTACCTGTTGGTGATGAGCCTAGAGTTGACATATCTGTACTCCCCCTCCAGTTTTTGCTCTGTAACTGTCATGCGTCCCACTGGTCGCCGCAGCCTGGTGGTTCAAAAATAAAAGCAAATGACCAACTCTCCTGATAGAGTATGTAAGCAAGAATGACCAACTCTCCTGATAGAGTATGTAAGCAAGAATGACCAACTCTCCTGATAGAGTATGTAAGCAAGAATGACCAACTCACCTGATAGAGTATGTAAGCAAGAATGACCAACTCTCCTGATAGAGTATGTAAGCAAGAATGACTAAATGACAAACTCTTCTGATAAAGTATGTAAAGATGTAAGCAAGAATGACCAACTCTCCTTATAGAGTATGTAAGCAAGAATGACCAACTCTCCTGATAGAGTATGTAAGCAAGAGTGACCAAATGACCAACTCTTCTGATAGAGTATGTAAGCAAGAATGACCAACTCACCTGATAGAGTATGTGAGCAAGAATGACCAACTCTTCTGATAGAGTATGTAAGCAAGAATGACCAACTCACCTGATAGAGTATGTGAGCAAGAATGACCAACTCTTCTGATAAAGTATGTGAGCAAGAATGACTAAATGACAAACTCTCCCGATAGAGTATGTAAGCAAGAATCACTAAATGACCAACTCTCCTGATAGAGTATGTAAGCAAGAATCACTAAATGAAACTTACCTGGTGAGAACAGCACCAGAGAATGCCAGGTATAATAACATGTATGTTGGACCCTGGTCAGCAAAAAAAAAAAAAATTGGCAAGTTGTTACCTTTATCATACAGCAGTTTACAATATTTGGTAGGTCAAATATTTTCAACAACACTTTCAAAATATTTTCCTTACCATGATTCCAATGGCACCAGCTAATTTGACAGTGTAAAGTATAACGTCAAGAATTGGCTGGAACAAAAAATATATATGTCACTTGTAGCTTTACTTTATGCCATAAATAGAAATATTATTTGTTACACACATTTGTTGGACCCACTTCAATTAAATTTTACTTCAGGAAATGGAAGAATGTTTGTATGACAGTTAACCCACTCTTAAACAATTGTAACATTTTACTTTCAAAAACATCCCTCCTCCCCAGGAGATGTGAATCCAAATGATTAAATTCTTTAACAATAAAAAAATATTTTTAGATGTGGTCAAATGTAAGATAAAATAATTCTACCTAGAAAATTAATAAAACTTTCCTTCTTCTACCTGTATCTACCCACCTAAAGCCCTGGGTTAACTACTGACCACTACCCACCTTAAGCCCTGGGTTAACTACTGACCACTACCCACCTTAAACCCTGGGTTAACTACTGACCCCTACCCACCTAAAGCCCTGGGTTAACTACTGACCACTACCCACCTTAAGCCCTGGGTTAACTACTGACCACTACCCACCTTAAACCCTGGGTTAACTACTGACCACTACCCACCTTAAGCCCTGGGTTAACCTGCTGACCACTACCCACCTAAAGCCCTGGGTTAACTACTGACCACTACCCACCTTAAACCCTGGGTTAACTACTGACCACTACCCACCTTAAGCCCTGGGTTAACTACTGACCACTACCCACCTTAAGACCTGGGTTAACTACTGACCACTACCCACCTTAAGACCTGGGTTAACTACTGACCACTACCCACCTTAAACCCTGGGTTAACTACTGACCACTACCCACCTTAAGCCCTGGGTTAACCTGCTGACCACTACCCACCTTAAACCCTGGGTTAACTACTGACCACTACCCACCTTAAGACCTGGGTTAACTACTGACCACTACCCACCTTAAACCCTGGGTTAACTACTGACCACTACCCACCTTAAGCCCTGGGTTAACCTGCTGACCACTACCCACCTTAAACCCTGGGTTAACTACTGACCACTACCCACCTTAAACCCTGGGTTAACTACTGACCATTACCCACCTTAAGCCCTGGGTTAACTACTGACCACTACCCACCTAAAGCCCTGGGTTAACTACTGACCACTACCCACCTTAAACCCTGGGTTAACTACTGACCACTACCCACCTTAAACCCTGGGTTAACTACTGACCACTACCCACCTTAAACCCTGGGTTAACTACTGACCACTACCCACCTAAAGCCCTGGGTTAACTACTGACCACTACCCACCTTAAACCCTGGGTTAACTACTGACCACTACCCACCTCAAGCCCTGGGTTAACTACTGACCACTACCCACCTAAAGCCCTGGGTTAACTACTGACCACTACCCACCTTAAACCCTGGGTTAACTACTGACCACTACCCACCTTAAACCCTGGGTTAACTACTGACCACTACCCACCTAAAGCCCTGGGTTAACTACTGACCACTACCCACCTTAAACCCTGGGTTAACTACTGACCCCTACCCACCTAAAGCCCTGGGTTAACCACTGACCACTACCCACCTTAAACCCTGGGTTAACTACTGACCACTACCCACCTTAAACCCTGGGTTAACTACTGACCACTACCCACCTTGCTTAGGTTGGAGTACAGCTCTGCCACGCAGTCACAGAACTTCTCAGTGTCTTGGGTCAACAGCTGGTCAGCGTTTGCGATGCGATTGTCCAGATTGCTCATCTTGTAAAATGTGAAGCCCCTAAACAAAAAGTCAATGGACATGTGAAGTACAATCTAGCTGAGATAAGTGTCTATATCTGACCTGAGTTGTAGAACATAGTTAAGTGAAGTAGCTAAGTGTCTATATCTGACCTGAGTTGTAGAACAGAGTTAAGTGAACTAGCTGAGATATGTGTCTATATCTGACCTGAGTTGTAGATTAGAGTTAAGTGAACTAGCTGAGATAAGTGTCTATACCTGACCTGAGTTGTAGAACAGAGTTAAGTGAAGTAGCTTAGTGTCTATATCTGACCTGAGTTGTAGAATAGAGTTAAGTGAAGTAGCTGAGATATGTGTCTATATCTGACCCTGAGTTGTAGATTAGAGTTAAGTGAAGTAGCTAAGTGTCTATATCTGACCTGAGTTGTAGAATAGAGTTAAGTAAACTAGCTAAGTGTCTATATCTGACCTGAGTTGTAGAACAGAGTTAAGTGAACTAGCTAAGTGTCTATATCTGACCTGAGTTGTAGAACAGAGTTAAGTGAACTAGCTTAGTGTCTATATCTGACCTGAGTTGTAGGACAGAGTTAAGTGAACTAGCTTAGTGTCTATATCTGACCTGAGTTGTAGAACAGAGTTAAATGAACTAGCTTAGTGTCTATATCTGACCTGAGTTGTAGAACAGAGTTAAGTGAAGTAGCTGAGTGTCTATACCTGACCTGAGTTGTAGAACAGAGTTAAGTGAACTAGCTGAGATATGTGTCTATATCTGACCTGAGTTGTAGAACAGAGTTAAGTGAAGTAGCTGAGATATGTGTCTATATCTGACCTGAGTTGTAGATTAGAGTTAGGTGAACTAGCTTAGTGTCTATATCTGACCTGAGTTGTAGATTAGAGTTAAGTGAAGTAGCTGAGATATGTGTCTATATCTGACCTGAGTTGTAGAACAGAGTTAAGTGAAGTAGCTAAGTGTCTATATCTGACCTGAGTTGTAGAACAGAGTTAAGTGAACTAGCTTAGTGTCTATACCTGACCTGAGTTGTAGAACAGAGTTAAGTGAAGTAGCTGAGATATGTGTCTATATCTGACCTGAGTTGTAGAATAGAGTTAAGTGAACTAGCTGAGTGTCTATATCTGACCTGAGTTGTAGAACATAGTTAAGTGAACTAGCTTAGTGTCTATATCTGACCTGAGTTGTAGAACAGAGTTAAGTGAAGTAGCTGAGATATGTGTCTATATCTGACCTGAGATATTTGTCGTACAAATACTTGGAAAGTCTGATTCTGAAGCGAAGCTTTAACATGCTCAGTCCATACTGAAACAAAGGGTTAACCCTTCAGTTAACAAGCCGTAATAAATCAGTAAACTATCTGTAAACAATCAGACAAAAATCAGTAAACTATCTGTAAACTATCAGACAAAAATCAGTAAACTATCTGTAAACAATCAGACAAAAAATAGTAAACAAACTTATCTTGCCTTTCTTTGGCCACAAAAAAAAAAAAAAAACTTGTCAGAAGCCCAAAGATTATTTATAAACAAAAACAAACTTGTTTAACAATCATAAACACTTTCTCTTAAGGCTAACTAAACAAATTGAACATTACTAAACAATAACTAAACAAACTGAACATTACTAAACAAACTGACCATTACTAAACAATAACTAAACAATTACTAAACAATAACTAAACAAACTGAACATTACTAAACAAACTGAACATTAGTAAACACTAACTAAACAATTACTAAACAAACTGAACATTACTAAACAAACTGAACATTACTAAACACTAACTAAACAATTACTAAACAATAACTAAACAAACTGAACATTACTAAACAAACTGAACATTACTAAACACTAACTAAACAATTACTAAACAATAACTAAACAATTACCTTCAACAGGTTGTTAACCACAGAGATCTGCAGAAAAAAGTTTTTTAATTTGTTTAAAAAATGTGGCAAAGTTCTCATCTATTTTTTCACATATACAGGAAATGTGAACTACAGGTTGTGTACAACACTACTGTACCAGACTGTGTACAACACTAATGTACCAGACTGTGTACAATGCTACTGTACCAGACTGTGTACAATGCTACTGTACCAGACTGTACAACACTGCTGTACCAGACTGTGTACAATGCTACTGTACCAGACTGTACAACACTAATGTACCAGACTGTGTACAATGCTACTGTACCAGACTGTGTACAATGCTATTGTACCAGACTGTGTACAATGCTACTGTACCAGACTGTGTACAATGCTACTGTACCAGACTGTGTACAATGCTATTGTACCAGACTGTACAACACTGCTGTACCAGACTGTGTACAACACTACTGTACCAGACTGTGTACAATGCTACTGTACCAGACTGTACAACACTGCTGTACCAGACTGTGTACAATGCTACTGTACCAGACTGTGTACAATGCTACTGTACCAGACTGTGTACAATGCTATTGTACCAGACTGTACAACACTGCTGTACCAGACTGTGTACAATGCTACTGTACCAGACTTACTGTACAATGCTACTGTACCAGACTGTGTACAACACTAATGTACCAGACTGTGTACAATGCTACTGTACCAGCCTGTGTACAATGCTACTGTACCAGACTGTGTACAACGCTACTGTACCAGACTGTGTACAATGCTACTGTACCAGACTGTGTACAATGCTACTGTACCAGACTGTGTACAATGCTACTGTACCAGACTGTGTACAATGCTACTATACCAGACTGTGTACAACACTACTGTACCAGACTGTGTACAATGCTACTGTACCAGACTGTGTACAACGCTATTGTACCAGACTGTACAACACTGCTGTACCAGACTGTGTACAATGCTACTGTACCAGACTGTGTACAATGCTACTGTACCAGACTGACTGTACAACACTACTGTACCAGACTGTGTACAATGCTACTGTACCAGACTGTGTACAATGCTACTGTACCAGACTGTGTACAATGCTACTGTACCAGACTGACTGTACAACACTAATGTACCAGACTGTGTACAACACTACTGTACCAGACTGTGTACAATGCTACTGTACCAGACTGTGTACAATGCTACTGTACCAGACTGTGTACAATGCTACTGTACCAGACTGTGTACAATGCTACTGTACCAGACTGTGTACAACACTACTGTACCAGACTGTGTACAACACTACTGTACCAGACTGTGTACAACACTACTGTACCAGACTGTGTACAACGCTACTGTACCAGACTGTGTACAATGCTACTGTACCAGACTGTACAACACTGCTGTACCAGACTGTGTACAAAGCTACTGTACCAGACTTACTGTACAATGCTACTGTACCAGACTGTGTACAATGCTACTGTACCAGACTGTACAACACTGCTGTACCAGACTGTGTACAAAGCTACTGTACCAGACTTACTGTACAATGCTACTGTACCAGACTGTGTACAATGCTACTGTACCAGACTGTACAACACTGCTGTACCAGACTGTGTACAATGCTACTGTACCAGACTGTGTACAATGCTACTATACCAGACTGTGTACAACACTACTGTACCAGACTGTGTACAACACTACTGTACCAGACTGTGTACAATGCTACTGTACCAGACTGTGTACAATGCTACTGTACCAGACTTACTGTACAATGCTACTGTACCAGACTGTGTACAATGCTACTGTACCAGACTGTACAACACTGCTGTACCAGACTGTGTACAACACTACTGTACCAGACTGTGTACAATGCTACTGTACCAGACTGTACAACACTGCTGTACCAGACTGTGTACAAAGCTACTGTACCAGACTTACTGTACAATGCTACTGTACCAGACTGTGTACAATGCTACTGTACCAGACTGTACAACACTGCTGTACCAGACTGTGTACAATGCTACTGTACCAGACTGTGTACAATGCTACTATACCAGACTGTGTACAACACTACTGTACCAGACTGTGTACAACACTACTGTACCAGACTGTGTACAACACTACTGTACCAGACTGTGTACAATGCTACTGTACTAGACTGTGTACAATGCTACTGTACCAGACTGACTGTACAACACTAATGTACCAGACTGTGTACAATGCTACTGTACCAGACTGTGTACAACACTACTGTACCAGACTGTGTACAATGCTACTGTACTAGACTGTGTACAATGCTACTGTACCAGACTGACTGTACAACACTAATGTACCAGACTGTGTACAATGCTACTGTACCAGACTGACTGTACAACACTAATGTACCAGACTGTGTACAACGCTACTGTACCAGACTGTGTACAATGCTACTGTACCAGACTGACTGTACAACACTAATGTACCAGACTGTGTACAACGCTACTGTACCAGACTGTGTACAATGCTACTGTACCAGACTGTGTACAATGCTACTGTACCAGACTGACTGTACAACACTAATGTACCAGACTGTGTACAACGCTACTGTACCAGACTGTGTACAATGCTACTGTACCAGACTGTGTACAATGCTACTGTACCAGACTGACTGTACAACACTAATGTACCAGACTGTGTACAACGCTACTGTACCAGACTGTGTACAATGCTACTGTACCAGACTGTACAACACTGCTGTACCAGACTGTGTACAACACTACTGTACCAGACTGTGTACAACGCTACTGTACCAGACTGTGTACAATGCTACTGTACCAGACTGTACAACACTGCTGTACCAGACTGTGTACAACACTACTGTACCAGACTGTGTACAATGCTACTGTACCAGACTGTGTACAATGCTACTGTACCAGACTGTGTACAATGCTACTGTACCAGACTGTATACAACACTACTGTACCAGACTGTGTACAATGCTACTGTACCAGACTGTGTACAATGCTACTGTACCAGACTGTGTACAACACTACTGTACCAGACTGTGTACAATGCTACTGTACCAGACTGTGTACAATGCTACTGTACCAGACTGTGTACAATGCTACTGTACCAGACTGTGTACAACACTACTGTACCAGACTGTGTACAATGCTACTGTACCAGACTGTGTACAATGCTACTGTACCAGACTGTGTACAATGCTACTGTACCAGACTGTGTACAACACTACTGTACCAGACTGTGTACAATGCTACTGTACCAGACTGTACAACACTGCTGTACCAGACTGTGTACAACACTACTGTACCAGACTGTGTACAATGCTACTGTACCAGACTGTACAACACTGCTGTACCAGACTGTGTACAAAGCTACTGTACCAGACTTACTGTACAATGCTACTGTACCAGACTGTGTACAATGCTACTGTACCAGACTGTACAACACTGCTGTACCAGACTGTGTACAATGCTACTGTACCAGACTGTGTACAATGCTACTGTACCAGACTGTGTACAATGCTACTATACCAGACTGTGTACAACACTACTGTACCAGACTGTGTACAATGCTACTGTACTAGACTGTGTACAATGCTACTGTACCAGACTGACTGTACAACACTAATGTACCAGACTGTGTACAATGCTACTGTACCAGACTGACTGTACAATGCTACTGTACCAGACTGTGTACAATGCTACTGTACCAGACTGTGTACAATGCTACTGTACCAGACTTACTGTACAATGCTACTGTACCAGACTGTGTACAACGCTACTGTACCAGACTGTGTACAATGCTACTGTACCAGACTGTGTACAATGCTACTATACCAGACTGTGTACAACACTACTGTACCAGACTGACTGTACAATGCTACTGTACCAGACTTACTGTACAATGCTACTGTACCAGACTGTGTACAACGCTACTGTACCAGACTGTGTACAATGCTACTGTACCAGACTGTGTACAATGCTACTATACCAGACTGTGTACAACACTACTGTACCAGACTGTGTACAATGCTACTGTACCAGACTGTGTACAATGCTACTGTACCAGACTGTGTACAACACTACTGTACCAGACTGTGTACAACACTACTGTACCAGACTGTGTACAATGCTACTGTACCAGACTGTACAACACTACTGTACCAGACTTACTGTACAATGCTACTGTACCAGACTGTGTACAACGCTACTGTACCAGACTGTGTACAATGCTACTGTACCAGACTGTACAACACTACTGTACCAGACTGTACAACACTGCTGTACCAGACTGTGTACAACACTACTGTACCAGACTGTGTACAATGCTACTGTACCAGACTGTGTACAATGCTACTGTACTAGACTGTGTACAATGCTACTGTACCAGACTGACTGTACAACACTAATGTACCAGACTGTGTACAATGCTACTGTACCAGACTGACTGTACAACACTAATGTACCAGACTGTGTACAACGCTACTGTACCAGACTGTGTACAATGCTACTGTACCAGACTGACTGTACAACACTAATGTACCAGACTGTGTACAACGCTACTGTACCAGACTGTGTACAATGCTACTGTACCAGACTGTGTACAATGCTACTGTACCAGACTGACTGTACAACACTAATGTACCAGACTGTGTACAACGCTACTGTACCAGACTGTGTACAATGCTACTGTACCAGACTGTGTACAATGCTACTGTACCAGACTGACTGTACAACACTAATGTACCAGACTGTGTACAACGCTACTGTACCAGACTGTGTACAATGCTACTGTACCAGACTGTACAACACTGCTGTACCAGACTGTGTACAACACTACTGTACCAGACTGTGTACAATGCTACTGTACCAGACTGTGTACAATGCTATTGTACCAGACTGTACAACACTGCTGTACCAGACTGTGTACAACACTACTGTACCAGACTGTGTACAACACTGCTGTACCAGACTGTGTACAATGCTACTGTACCAGACTGTACAACACTAATGTACCAGACTGTGTACAATGCTACTGTACCAGACTGTGTACAATGCTACTGTACCAGACTGTGTACAATGCTACTATACCAGACTGTGTACAATGCTACTGTACCAGACTGTGTACAACACTACTGTACCAGACTGTGTACAATGCTTCTGTACCAGACTGTGTACAACGCTTCTGTACCAGACTGTGTACAATGCTACTATACCAGACTGTACGATACTACTGTACCAGAATGACTGTGTTGGGAAAGATCATACTTACAACTGGCATAGCATAGATAAACTTGAAAAGTAAAATTTTGAACTGCTCAGAGTCCCTACCAATGATTGAACTGGAAAACAAAAAGGTGTGTCAAAAATGGAGGAAGAATGTATAGAGTTAATTTAACATGAACAGATAGTATGTAGCCAACCTTTCAATGGAGGTTCCATTTTGTATCATCCAGACGTCAGCGTAAGTCCTGGCCACCAGGCTGACTGCAACTATTGCCAGATACAGAGACTGCAGGAGAAATAGAAATCTTTCAGGGGCTAAATCTTTAGGTTTGGGGCTGTTTACACAGGCTAAATCTTTAGGTTTGGGGCTGTTTACACAGGCTAAATCTTTAGGTTTGGGGCTGTTTACACAGGCTAAATCTTTAGGTTTGGGGCTGTTTACACAGGCTAAATCTTTAGGTTTGGGGCTGTTTACACAGGCTAAATCTTTAGGTTTGGGGCTGTTTACACAGGCTAAATCTTTAGGTTTGGGGCTGTTTACACAGGTTATATCTTTAGGTTTGGGGCTGTTTACACAGGCTAAATCTTTAGGTTTGGGGCTGTTTACACAGGTTATATCTTTAGGTTTGGGGCTGTTTGCACAGGTTACATCTTTAGGTTTGGGGCTGTTTACACAGGCTAAATCTTTAGGTTTGGGGCTGTTTACACAGGTTATATCTTTAGGTTTGGGGCTGTTTACACAGGTTATATCTTTAGGTTTGGGGCTGTTTACACAGGCTAAATCTTTAGGTTTGGGGCTGTTTACACAGGTTAAATCTTTAGGTTTGGGGCTGTTTACACAGGTTAAATCTTTAGGTTTGGGCAGTTTGCTGACATACAATCAGCTGCTAAACAAAAGGGCAGACATGCAATCAGCTGGCTAATTGTTGCACTTACCTCTATGGTGAAGAAGCCAGGTATAAGAATTTTTAGGATAGCCCACAATCGACTGTAAAGTTTAAACAATAGAAATCAATTTCTCTGACTAAAAATTTCAGTGACAATAAATTTCATAACAAGCATGAGCTAAAAGGATGCCAGATTGTGTACTCAACTCTAAATCTGGTGCACATAGTTAGTTGTTACTAGCTGACTTTTTAGTTTTTATCCTTGGCTTAAGGACTCATCAACAACAAAAGTTGACGATGATTTCATTTTTAGATGAAATCGTCAATATTTTCAGATGAAATCTTCAACACTGATAAGAAACTGGTCAACATGTTTTCACAGTGTGGTGTTCTAGTGAGCATACATCAGATGGTAGTGGTTGGATCAAACTTACACCGGACTTGAACTGCCTCTAGATAGGCAACACACAAATCCCAATTGTTTCTATGTTATGTCACGTTGAATCCCACACAATAAAAAGCTTGTGACTTACCTAAAAAATCCCACACAATAAAAAGCTTGTGACTTACCTAAAAAATCCCACACAATAAAAAGCTTGTGACTTACCTAAAAAATCCCACACAATAAAAAGCTTGTGACTTACCTAAAAAATCCCACACAATAAAAAGCTTGTGACTTACCTAAAAAATCCCACACATGAAAAAGCTTGTGACTTACTTAAAAAATCCCACACAATAAAAAGCTTGTGACTTACCTAAAAAATCCCACACAATAAAAAGCTTGTGACTTACCTAAAAAATCCCACACAATAAAAAGCTTGTGACTTACCTAAAAAATCCCACACAATAAAAAGCTTGTGACTTACCTAAAAAATCCCACACAATAAAAAGCTTGTGACTTACCTAAAAAATCCCACACAATAAAAAGCTTGTGACTTACCTAAAAAATCCCACACAATAAAAAGCTTGTGACTTACCTAAAAAATCCCACACAATAAAAAGCTTGTGACTTACCTAAAAAATCCCACACATGAAAAAGCTTGTGACTTACTTAAAAAATCCCACACAATAAAAAGCTTGTGACTTACCTAAAAAATCCCACACAATAAAAAGCTTGTGACTTACCTAAAAAATCCCACACAATAAAAAGCTTGTGACTTACCTAAAAAATCCCACACAATAAAAAGCTTGTGACTTACCTAAAAAATCCCACACATGAAAAAGCTTGTGACTTACCTAAAAAATCCCACACAATAAAAAGCTTGTGACTTACCTAAAAAATCCCACACATGAAAAAGCTTGTGACTTACCTAAAAAATCCCACACAATAAAAAGCTTGTGACTTACCTAAAAAATCCCACACAATAAAAAGCTTGTGACTTACCTAAAAAATCCCACACAATAAAAAGCTTGTGACTTACCTAAAAAATCCCACACAATAAAAAGCTTGTGACTTACCTAAAAAATCCCACACAACAAAAAGCTTGTGACTTACCTAAAAAATCCCACACAATAAAAAGCTTGTGACTTACTTAAAAAATACAGCATTCACCACAGCTTTCTCCTTTTTTTGGCCATGCTGGAAATAAAAATATTAATTGTCCTTATATTTAAAATAGCCTTTGATTTCTAACGTATTTTATTTTCAAAAGCTGCAAATAATAAAGAGAAAAAATTAATGAAAGAATTAGATAGCTCAATTTACAATCATTTCAAGTTGTGTGTATGTGTGGTTGTGTGTGCACAAGGAGGGATGATGGCATGCAGCAATTGTGTACTTTAACACACTTTTCATCAACACTCCGTGTGTGTTTGAGTGTGTGTATGGGGGGGGGGTGCAGATAATAGTTTGTGTTGCTATCATCACAACCAAGCTCAACTAATAAACAAATGTATTTAGTAACAGTAATAAGAAATGTAAGTATTACCTGCGCAATTACAACCTTAACTTCCTCTTCAACATTGTTGGTTTTTCTGTAAGAAAACAGCACAACAGGTTAATTCCATTTCATAAGACTACCCCAAGTCAAGTTTTTGTTTAGTTATTGTTAAAGGTGGATGTGTAGTTGACTAGAGATCAGTGTTACGCTAGTCTTTGGCAGTACACATGTAAGATATACAACAACCCTGACACATTTTTTGGTTTTGGCTTTAGACCCTGGATGCCAGGATCACCCTATTATGACCTACTGTAGAAATAAACTACTAGTCCGGTGACCTGATTTCATTAGTGGATTTCTCAATTATTTTTAAAGATTTTTAAATAAAACTTCACAGAAGCATATTAAAATATTTTAGAAATAAATTTAGATAGCTAAAAATTGCTAAAAATTAACACAATCAATAAACAATTAAAAAAAAATAATGTATAGTATTGTATTAGCTAGGTGGTGGCGGATAATGGTAATCAAAAAATGAAAAAATCTAAAAAAAAATAAAAATAGAGCTTTATGTGTTTTATGACAATAGGTTAGGTTAGGTTTGACTGTCCTCCCTACTGGGACATAGGCCACTGACAAAGAGCTTTCCAGCATCTCTGTCCTGGGCTAGTCTCTCCAACTGTTCCCAGTTGTATCCAATCTTCTTGGTGTCTTCTTCCAGGTCACGTCTCCAGGTCTTTCTTGGTCTGCCTCTCCTCCTCCTACCTTGTGGATTCCAGGTGCGGGCCTGTCTTGTTATGCTGGATGCAGGCTTCCTGAGTGTGTGGCCAATCCATTTCCAGTTTCTCTGGAGGGTCTCTACTTCAGCTGGCAGTTGATTTGTCCGTTGCCATAGAACATCATTTCTGATGGTTTTTTGGTCAGCAAATTCGCAGGATCTTTCTGAGGCATGCGTTTATAAATGATTGTATTTTCTTCTTATTTATAGCAGTTATTCTCCATGTCTCAGCTCCATAGAGTAAAACAGGTTTTACTAGTGTGTTGAAGATCCTGATTTTTATACCAGTGTCCGATAATGGAATGTTCTTTAAAAATAGGGGTGTTAGGTTACTGGTAGTTAACTAAATACACACATGGCATGCAAATGTTTAGGCTTTTTGATGAGAATTTCAGAATGATTTTTCTATTAAAAATTTATCAATAATAGCTAGCACACTAGTAAACTAAGCCAATTTAGCATATTTTAACTTCCTGTGCAAAGTCATTATTACTGAAAAAAATTTCAAAGTCAGGTCAGCATATGGCACCCTCCACTGAACTTGACTGAAGGAAAAAAAACTTGACCTGTGACCTTCATTAAAACAGAATTTACTATTGTTTTTTTTAATTACTAGTAAAAAAGTGCTTAATTTTACCCAAATAAGTAAAACAAATTGAAAATTAATTTTAATTACTGTAGTAAAGTGTGATAAACAGCTTAAAAAACACATGCTTTCTTGAGGGGGTGTGGCACATCGCAATTGGAACTTTAGATTTGCGTGTTTTATGACTATATTTATACACAATCAGCATGCTATGCTTTTGAAAATTGATAAAGGATAAGTATACCAAGTTACAAAACCTGCAATCTGACCAATAATTCATAATTTTAGTTTAAAAAATAATAAAAACGATCATCAATGAAGAAAGCGTAAACATTCATAAATCAAAAACAGTCATAAATCTAGCCAAATGATAGGATTCTTGCGCGGCACACTTTTTCCCGCGCCTCGTTTTCACCAAAAAAAGATTATAATAAAATGGCATTATTGAGGGTTGATCATTACCCACGAACACATCTCATAAACCCCATAAATTATTACCAGTTAATTGTAATGTGTGTTAAATTAATACTTAAAAGTTTAGAAGTCACATAAGCTGGTTTACAGGCAAAGCGATATTTCAGAGTTATTTGATTTAAAAGACAAGAATACATAGAGCTATTTTCACTTACACGCCGCTTGCGAGACAAACAAAGAAATTAGGTCAAAAGTACATCTGGGAATTCTTAAATAACAGACAGAACTAGATGAGTTCAGTTTTCTAAAATTAACGATGGCATCGAAATCAATAGTTTTATCCCTCTGCCATATCATAGTGCCACGAAAATGACAAACCCGGAAGAGTTGAATCGAATGACCTACTAATGTCAATGCTAACCGGTCCCTAACCCCAAGCCTGGTCCTACCATACGCCTAACCCTAATTTCTAACCATAAAATTAGTCAAGATTACAATACTACTACCAACCCAACACCACTTTTTTTAAAGTAGATTCCATTATCGGACACCGGTATCTAGTATCTACTCCTAGATCTATAAAATAAGTCTATATATATTACTAAATAATCATCCATTATTCTCCCCAGACTTTTTCCAGACTTTAAAAAAATCCAGCCCAAAAAGTAGCGATTTTCCAGACTTTAAAGTCTGAAATTCACTTTTCTATCTAGATTAGATCTAGAATCTAGATCTAGATTCTAAATTAAAAAATTAAAATCAAGGAATCAAGACTAATCAAGAGCCAAGGGAGGCGAGCGAGTTGACGAGATTCCGTCCCCAATGTTGTTGACATGGAATAAAAACGTGCTTTTTAGATTTAGACCGTAAAAAAAAAAATAAAAAAAAAAACTTAAGCCTAAAATTAATTTAGAAATTTTATATTTTTAGAATAAATGTTATAAAAGTTGCAAATCCAGAGAACTTGAAAATAATTTGTTGAGTTTAAGGCTACATTTCTATTTATTTTCATCAAGCCTAAGTTATAACCGGATGTTTCACTTTCGTAAGACAAATATTGATTGGCTGTACAGTAACTTAGTGATCGATAACTATTTGTTTACAAAACTTTGCAGATCAAGTTTTTAAATAACTATGCAAATTTAAAACCCCATGACCTAGTTTTCTATTTTTAGCTTACAATGTGTACAATAAAATCAATGGCGGCCTATCCAATAGCAGGATGCCATTGTTTATGTCGCCATTACATGTGAAAACCAAATTGGGTATACCATTCGAATCGTCCTTAGAGGATTTCATAGTGTCAGCCGCCAACCAATCAAACGCGCGCTTTCTCCCCGTTTTGGTTGGCGGCTGACGTCACGGTGACGTCACGCGACGCGTTTTTGGAGCTAAAAAGGGCCGAAAAAGCCATTTTTTTCTACGCGTAGTTCGGATTTTTTTACGTTTTTTAAAATGGGCCCGAAAATGACACTTTTTAAAACTGGACTTAGCCATTTTTTCAAACAAATTTATCGAAAAAAGGCCGTTTTGGGTGATTTTTGGATGTAAACAATGGCCTAGGTCAACACGTGTCAAACCACGTGAAGGCACCCAATCGACGATTTCGGTCACGCATGAGTGGTTTTCATACGTTCTCGTGAACTAAATACCAGTTTCTTGACAACAAAATGGAAAACGACAATTTCGTGAAAATAACGACCCTAGAGGAATGGCTCTTGAAGATTATTAAATAAAAATCGGTGTGTTGGCTCTATGTATTGATTCTAAAGTTGTCTATAATTGACTAGTAGGGCATGCTGAAACAACGGCCTGAGGGCGCCGTGTAGTGTGTAGTTTCGCTAAATGTAAATTAATCAGCCCAGCCGCAGATCAATCGCAAACTGTTAAAATGGTTGGATGTGAAAAGCTTCTACTTACAAATTACTTCTGAATAATCACATCACACAAAATAATCCCAAAGAAAGCACAAAATAAAATCCTTTAGAAAAGTATCACCATGAAATTTGAAAACCACAGTTTGTCAACCTTAACCAGCCATCTTTGGCTCGATCTAGAGGTCATTCTTTAGCCTACACATGTGTCTTGTCAACCAATTTAGTTTCTGATGGTACACGACATTTAGATAAATATAATATAACAAACTAACTGAATTCCAACATTATATCCATCTAATCCAATATTGAAACAGAATTTGAAGCACAATGATCTAACGAATAAATCCAACTCTATGCGAGTGTCGCAGCTTTAGTCCTGGATACAAGCATAGTGTGTAGTCGTGTTGTGAGTAAATTTGCACGAGATACAACACCGACCTAGACCTTCCTGATGTGTATGGCCCCAAAGTGCTGCGAGTAGGGGAGGGCAATTTAACACCAGAATAATTTTTTTTTCAATAGTTAGGTCATCAGTAGTTCACGCATCCTAACGGGGTTGAAAGTGTAACTTTAAATTGAACTAGGTGAGAGGAGGAGGGTGAGGTCATTAGAACAACGGAACTATATTTCTAGTAGAAGAATACGGGGAAATCATAGCTTGAAGTTTGAAGCCGGCATTTCATTTTTTTCATTGTTATTGAGTACAGTCCTTTAATGCACGACTAGGCTACTCATTATGAAATCTAAAAATGTAGTTGTGCTACCATGCAAAAGTAGCCTAATAGGTCTTGTTTATTTAAATGCAGATCCTGTTAGCCTAAAAATATTTGAATACACATTTTAGTTTTATCGTAATGATTAATGTTATAATACAATGCATATATTCTGATAGTCCTTCAAGTTTTTGGGCAATCCATAACTTGTATTTCAAATTTATAATGAGCGGGATGCACTCGATGTTTTAAGTGCTACATTCGGTAGCTGTTACTTTATGTATGACAGCATCCCAATAGTTCACTGTAAATATAAACTGAGCTTGACAAGATTCCCATCGCCAAGCAATCGTATGATAGACCCAGCAAGCATCACTCGTTAAATTCGACAACATGGCTATACCAGTCCTTGATTTTCATTACAGCCTTTAAACGCCTAGTTCTTGGTTTTAAAAAAAAAAGTGTCTCCCCCCCCCCTCCCCGCTTGCGCCGACGTCATCATAGGCCAATACCATGTTGCGATTTTTTTAAACGGATATAACACACCCCTCTCCCCCTCACAGCAAACGCCAACAACGTCACCGAAGGCCCAAGGCCAATAACACGCACCACGTTGGATTTTTTCTTCAACGAGTATATACCCTACCCACCCGCCGCCTTACAACATACCGCATGTCTCTACGAACGGGGTTAAAAGTTTGAGTTCAAGAAGGGGAGGGGGTGGTATTCAAACAACGAAGGTGTTTCTTTATAGTACAAATACATAGTTAAAAAAATTATACTTACCGTAACTTACCTACTGCTATAGCATCATACATAATTTTATAAATTAGCTAATTAATTAACTAATTAAATATATCTAATGATAATGAAGGGAGATAGTTTATTTTGGTTAAGGAACGACACACAACACTGTGCGTGCCTGGTATGTGGCCTGACCGACCTAAAAGGAGATTGTTTATATTATTGTTTTGAGTTTATATTTAACTCAATGCAACGAGCCCGCCGGTTGGCTGAGGCCACGCCGGGGGGACGATCTGTCCGGGATTCAAAGGGACGACTCGAAATATCATCCCCAAATTGTTTTTGCTTTTTTTTTAATTTTTATTTAGTTACCGAAAATATTATAAACATCAAATACATCCAATCTTTAGTAAAGTCCGAAAAAAACCAGATAGACAGGATTTTATAACCATATTAATTGTAACTACGCTGTGCATGATTTTTAAATGAATTTATATTATACACCTCTCAAATACCTTTGAGACTTTTCTCGCTGGTGTCCAGTCAAGACTTTTTCCAGAATTTCGGAGCCAAACTCAATGCGTGCGAACCCTGTCTCTAAGACAAAAAAATATATTTTAAAACAAACAAAGTTGTGCTTACTTTTTGATTGTTTTATTTGAGGCTCTTTTGTAAATGAAGTATGCTGCAATACCGGCTGCAGTAAAAAGTGCTGAGTTTCTAGGAGTGAACTTTAGAAATTTACTCTGAGCCGCCATGTTGTTTATGGGAAACTAAAAATCTAGTCTAAGTAGTTTACGGTCAAAACTTTTATGACTCTAACGTTTAGCAATAGTAAAGATTTCTAGATCTGAAAATATATCATCTTTTATACTAAATAAATGAATACAGGAACAAACAAATTTTACAGTGTTTTTTTTCTTAACAGTTTTCACTTCAGATTTTAAAATAAATCGTAGATCTTAGATTAATGTTTTGTGCCAAAAGTCAAAGTCCAAAGTTCTTGAGGCGTTCAACCAGTCAGAAATGTTCTTCATCTCTCACCATTATTTTGCCCATAGGCCTAGGCCCTACATGGGCCTAATAAATCATTGTATAGTCAATCACATTCGATAAAGCTTAAAATGAGAAATAATTTGTATGATGTTCATCTGTAAACACACTAGCACACATTTATAGGGCCTATATATAAAAAAAAGGTCATCAGGGGTATAGACTGGGCGTGTTACTGTTAGGAGAAGGAGGTGAACACTCCCATTAGAATAGAACACCCCTGTATGACACCCAGAGTGAACAATTTCTGATGTTAAAACAGTGCTACTGATGACTGTCGAATACCGCCCCTTCCCTCCAGAACTAATTCATGGCTTTCAGAAACCCCAAATTGGAAACAGTAAACATCAATGTCCGCTCGACAGGTTATGTCTCTGATTTGGCTGGTTTCTAACCTTTTAATATTTAACACTCGTTGTGATCATTTCTACATGTCAAACCGTAGCTGCAGTAAAATACATTTTTTCTAAAAAGTTGAACCAGCCGCCTCCCAGAAGCTTTCCACAGTTCATACACCGACATTATACAGTTAGACTTGAGATTATCGCCTTTAGGAACATACACCGACATTATTTTATACAGTTAGACTTGAGATTATCGCCTACAGCAACATGCACCGAGATTAAGTTGCATGTTTAATCCCGCCGCCTGCTTATGCCGTCTGCTTTATGTGATCCTTCTGTAGCCGTGTATAATATTACGCCCTTGGCGTCATGTATAGGGACGGAGGTGTTTAATGCATTGATGTAAGCTGTAGGCCTATATTCTATCGCTAAAACCTATGTAGTCTGTATTCAAAGTTTCAATTTTTTTAAACATAGATCAAATGTTTACGGGCGCGAGTAAAATCATAGGTGTTACCTCACTTGGGAGTCATCCATTTCTGACGTCCACAAAAATTTCAGTTATTAGAACTCCCCCCCCCCCCCCCACCCCCATGTGGATGTCCACAAAAATTTAGTAGACCTCTCAAACTTACTACCAATTTACTATTTTAATAGCATGTACTGTGTACCTATTAACTGATAAACAGGCTATAATTTTTTTCTATGTTTATTTATTAGATCTAGGTCTAAATATTAAAATTAGAATCTCGAGTTTAGAGAGAAAACAGTGTGTTAGAAACGTCAAATTATAGATAAACGATAAAATTACCTTAGGCACACCAACAATAACAAGATATATAAAACATTTCTCTAGATTAGCAGCACAAACAACATTGTTTTTTTCTTCATTCTTTATTCTCATAAAACAGATCAATTTCAAATATTACCAGTACAAAATGTGCTAACGTTTACATGCAGGAATCTCATCACTGACTGCTTATTTTTTTAAAAGTAATTAAAAACAGATGAGTACATTTTATTCCTGCTGTACCAGCACAAAAACAAACTTTAAAATGATTGCAATAAATCATTGTTCCATGCCTGGAAACATATTAGCAGCTTTAAATTATAAGGTCCATCTTTTATTTTTACCTTAGCAATGAACTCTTAGTTTAATAACTTTATCCTCCTAAAAGGTCTGAAAAAAAATCTAACATGAAATCTATACAGCTGGGCAGCTATGTCAAGCACAGGTCATACAGCTATAGATCTACTTGTTCCACCAACATTCTAAAGTTTTTTTTAAAAACCTATGAAAAATTAAAATCAAGTTTCTCTGTCATTTACTAAAAATAGAATATGTTAAAACAGTTACAAAACCCAAACCACATTTGTTGGTGGAACAAAACAATTGGATTAAATTTTTGGTACTGGATGGTAACCAGAGCAATCTAGTGATCTACACTAGACAGATCTGTTAAATAAAAACTCTGTTAAATAAAAACTCTGCTGATAAAATCTGATGGAACAATAGTCAGAAAAAACATTCTATTTGAGCTGCCCCTTCATCCAATGGCAGTAGAACAAAGATTTCCAGACAAATGTACAACAGCCAGTTAGTCCTATACATTTAGTGGTCAGCTGAACCATTGTGTACAGCCAGTGGTCAGCTGAACCATTGTGTACAGCCAGTGGTCAGCTGAACCATTGTGTACAGCCAGTGGTCAGCTGAACCATTGTGTACATCCAGTGGTCAGCTGAACCATTGTGTACATCCAGTGGTCAGCTGAACCATTGTGTACATCCAGTGGTCAGCTGAACAATTGTGTACAGCCAGTGGTCAGCTGAACAATTGTGTACAGCCAGTGGTCAGCTGAACAATTGTGTACAGCCAGTGGTCAGCTGAACCATTGAGTAGCACAAATCTTGTCAGACTCACCATATCACACAGTCTACCAGTAGAATTATTATTCTGTTAACCTTAGATGGTGGTCTAAACCTCCCACTCAAATGGTGGTCTAAACCTCCCACTCAAATGGTGGTCTAAACCTCCCACTCAAATGGTGGTCTAAACCTCCCACTCAAATGGTGGTCTAAACCTCCCACTCAAATGGTGGTCTAAACCTCCCACTCAAATGGTGGTCTAAACCTCCCACTCAAATGGTGGTCTAAACCTCCCACTCAAATGGTGGTCTAAACCTCCCACTCAAATGGTGGTCTAAACCTCCCACTCAAATGGTGGTCTAAACCTCCCACTCAAATGGTGGTCTAAACCTCCCACTCAAATGGTGGTCTAAACCTCCCACTCAAATGGTGGTCTAAACCTTCCACTAAAAGTTAATGTTTCCTATTGTGTACAAACCTATGAAAGTAAAATTCTTTAATGGAACTACACAACATATGCCACAAACCCTTCCTTAAGAGAAAAAAGATCTTTTGTGCAAAGTAAACTTAATTCACCTTAATTAATTACAAAATGAGCAGAAGGGTATGGATGAAATAATAAATTAGTAAACAGAAAATTATGTGGTCAGTCATGTTTTCATCATGAGCTGATCACAACATAGCATGGACCAGATTTCTATAGAATATTTGATTTTACTGGTGTTACAAAAAAAGTGAATCATTCTATGCTAGAAATGAAAAATTACAAAATATAGAATTATGTACAGTACTAATTGAACATGGATAAAAAGCTACAAGCTAGATCAACTCTTGTGAAATAGCCGTGTTAGATTAGCTCTAGATAAGTAGCTATGTTTATATTAACTCTGATAAAGCAGATATTGTTTAGGTTATATTAAACAATTTTTTGTACAGAAACCACTATTTTCAAAACTGCCCTCACTAATATTGACCTAGGTACCACTATTTCCACCACCTATATTGACCCAGGTACCACTATTTCCACAACTACCTCTATTTCCACAACTACCACCACCTATATTGACCCAGGTACCACTATTTCCACAACTACCACTATTTCCACAACTACCACTATTTCCAGAACTACCCCCACCTATATTGACCCAGGTACCACTATTTCCCCAACTATCACTATTTCCACAACTACCCCCACCTATATTGACCCAGGTAACTGTCCTAATTGATGTCACAGGTGGCATGTATTGCTTATTGTGTAATGGAAGGGAGATAATGCAAGATACAATTTATAACACATACTGTGTGGGTTATATTTATAAATTTATAACACTGTGGGATTATATTTACAAGCAATGGGGTATATAAGTGCATGTAGATATACACTTGTGTGAGCAACCTGCCATCAGTCTAATGGTTCTATGAGGTACAAAAAATATGGCAAATCAAATAACATGCAACCGTATAATGCACTAGCATTATAACTGGTTTTAAAAAACTGAAAGTATTGCCTGAATGAAACAATAAGCCAACAAGACATTAGTACCAGCACCCTCTGTGACCTGTCACACTCACCTCGCTGACATTTCGGTCAGTCAGCGAGGTCACTCCTCTCACCCACTACACACCATCTGGTCTGTTACGTGTAGGTAGCGGTTACGTGTAGGTCTGTTATGTGTAGGTCGGTTACTTTTGAAATTGTGTCATAAATATTTTGATTTGATATTGTTCATGGGTTAAAAAGTTAGTAAAAAAAAGCTGCGTACCAATATCACAGTATGGAGATTAAGGTGCCTGTCAAGCCCAATTATTGTATGTACAGAAGATTAGTTGAAGGAAGTTTTGTTTTTTGCATACTTTAAGTTGCATTTTTTTTCTTGTTTAACAGTGGAAACCAAATAATGCAATGTTTCCAAATTTGGATCACAACAAGAAGTGACCCAATGACTGATGTATAATAGGCAATGACCCAATGACTGATGTATAACAGCCAATAACCCAATGTCTATGTATCACTGAGGGTGTGGTGACTAATCGCTATGTACACTGATATTTACAAGCCTGAATTACTGCCCTTTGTAAGCTAACTAGCTAGGGCTGGCTTGGGCCTCTCTGGGCCACCAAGCTAAGAGCTGTGTCAAACAGCCAGACAATTTCTCTAAAAGTTCCTCGCCTCAAACGGCCTGAGGAAGGCAGAAAAAAAAACCTTCATTGGGGTTGAAGGTGAAGGCCATCCAGGTGTAGCGCTCAGACCGCCTGCTCGATGTTGGGCTTGCAGTAGCTGGACTGGTCAGTGCTGGGCTCCACATGGCTGGACACTGCTGACATGCTCTTGTCCACACACACAGGGGAGGGTAAGGACGAGCTTGTTAGTGAGAGGGAGGAGGAGATGGCCAACTTTTGGTGGGAGCGGGGGCCGGTGCTGTAGGGGGCACTCTGCTCCCTGCGTGTCCTTCTCTCCTCCTTCTTGTGGGCCAGCATCTTCTGGATCTGCTGCATCTTGCCACGCAGCCGAATGTTCTCCAAGTTTTCACTCAGGTTCACTGTAAGCAAAACAAAATTAATAAATGCCCTCATTCTTTTTACATGCTCAGATTGATTGACTTCATCACTATGAATGTGAAGAAGAAACTAGCGTGCTATTGTACCTTGCTGACTCTGTATAAACTATTGTAGCTTGCTGAATGTGTATAAACTATTGTAGCTTGCTGACTGTGTATAAACTATTGTACCTTGCTGACTGTGTATAAACTATTGTAGCTTGCTGACTGTGTATAAACTATTGTAGCTTGCTGACTGTGTATAAACTATTGTAGCTTGCTGACTGTGTATAAACTATTGTAGCTTGCTGACTGTGTATAAACTATTGTAGCTTGCTGACTGTGTATAAACTATTGTAGCTTGCTGACTGTGTATATACTATTGTAGCTTGCTGAGTGTGTATAAACTATTGTAGCTTGCTGACTGTGTATAAACTATTGTAGCTTGCTGACTGTGTATAAACTATTGTAGCTTGCTGACTGTGTATAAACTATTGTAGCTTGCTGAGTGTGTATAAACTATTGTAGCTTGCTGACTGTGTATATACTATTGTAGCTTGCTGACTGTGTATAAACTATTGTAGCTGAGTGTGTATAAACTATTGTAGCTTACCTGGACTTGCCCTACTGGTTGGACTAGATGGTGGGGTCAGCATGGATGGACAGGCAGTGATTGGATTGGCTGGTGCTGGGCTATGTGGGGCAGCTATTAATAGATCATTGAGGATGTGCAGGATGGTGCTGACACTCCTCCTGGGATGGCCGTGGACGTCCTGCAGCGAGGGGTCCAACGTGCCTGAGGGAAATAAGACAAGCAATATGACATCTGGTGTCAGAACAAGCAATATGACATCTGGTGGTCAAGACAAGCAACATGACATCTGGTGGTCAAGAAAAGCAATATGACATCTGGTGTCAGAACAAGCAATATGACATCTGGTGGTCCAGACAAGTAATATGACATGTGGTCAAGACAAGCAACATGCCAGAACAAGCAATATGTTGCTTGCCATAAAATGTTCCAGTATAAAATGCCATTTACCTTGAAATGTTCCAGTGTAAACACCACGTCCAAGGTGCTTCATGCTGTCAATCACTGCACCAGGACTGGGAGGTGGGGAGGGCAGGGGGTTGTCAGGTACAATGGGCAGGGCTGGGGGTCTTTGATGGGATGGGGAGGTTGGGGGTGCTGCTGGTTGAGGGGTTGATACAGGAGTTGGTTGGGGTGCATGTGCTGCCTGCGACAGGGCTGCTGCCTGTGACAGGGGTACTGCCTGCGACAGGGGTGTTGCCTGCGACAGGGGTGTTGCCTGCGACAGGGGTGCTGCCTGCGACAGGGGTGCTGCCTGCGACAGGGCTGCTGCTTGACTTAGCCTGTGCAGGCTTGAGGTAGAAGGTGTAGACTGCTGAAAGGAATAAGACAGCCAGGTTAGTTGTAGCTTGACAGGTTTGTTCATGGGTTTCAGTAGGTGCTATGTTACACAACTTGTAAACTACAGCTGAAGTTTTGTAGGCACTGTGCTCTGTGGAAACTCTGAGCTTACCCTGCTAGACTTGTTGAGCTCCTGTAGCCTGTGTATGCGCTGGGAGAGACAGCGCGTGGCTTCAGCTATGGCCGAGGGAGAGAGGCTGGACTGAGAGATGGAGGCGGTGGGCGCCATGGGGCTGGCGGTGGGCGGGGCAGGGCGCTGGCCTTGAAGCATGGACAACTGAAGCTGGACAAAGACCATGTTCTCACCCATCCTGATGGCCAGCATCAGTGGACTGCGGCCTGAGAGGAAGTCGTTGACCTGCAGGGGACCAGAGTTTGTTAAGTCAGGGACAAGACACATACAGCACAAATACATCAAGGTGTGGGGGGGGGGGGGGGGGGGGATTTAGGGGGAAAATAATGAGACAAAAAAATGAAATAATGAGGTTGATAAGCAATGATATATATATTGCCGAATGAGGTTGCATGACGCTGAATGAGGTTGATACACTAAATGAGGTTGGATGAGGTTAATACACCAAATGAGGTTGATAAACTAAATAAGGTTGATAAAATAAATAAGGTTGATAAACTAAATGAAGTTGATAAACTAAATGAGGTTGGATGAGGTTGATACACTAAATGAGGTTGATACACTAAATGAGGTTGGATGAGGTTGATACACTAAATGAGGTTGATACACTAAATGAGGTTGATAAACTAAATGAGGTTGGATGATGTTGACAAGTGAACGAACCTGAGTCTCTGTGAGGTTCTCTAAAGCTTGCATGATGCTGCGATCTGATTGGCTCACCTGTAACAATAGAAGTGGAGTTGGCAGACCAGGAAGTAATGACAGAGGTGGGCTGGGTGGGTGGGGGTAGGCTTTACGGGCAGCAGAGTGGCACGAGTTTCTTAACGTCAATGTGGTTTAGGCGTGGTCAGTCGGGGTCAATCTGTGCCACATTTGAACCAACCTCATGGGGGTGGGGGACGTCATTAAAGTCGGATGAAATCTGGTCAAAGGCGGATTTTTCCATGCCTACCACTCCCCAACCTGCCAACCACTTAACAACCACTTCACAACCTGCCAACCACTTCACAACCTGCCAACCACTTCACAACCTGCCAACCACTTCACAACCTGCCAACCACTTCACAACCTGCCAACCACTTCACAACCTGCCAAGCACTTCACAACCTGCCAAGCACTTCACAACCTGCCAACCACTTCACAACCTGCCAACCACTTCACAACCTGCCAACCACTTCACAACCTGCCAACCACTTCACAACCTGCCAACCACTTCACAACCTGCCAACCACTTCACAACCTGCCAACCACTTCACAACCTGCCAACCACTTCGCAACGTGCCAACCACTTCACAACGTGCCAACCACTTCACAACGTGCCAACCACTTCACAACGTGCCAACCACTTCACAACGTGCCAACCACTTCACAACGTGCCAACCACTTCACAACGTGCAAACCACTTCACAACGTGCCAACCACTTCACAACGTGCCAACCACTCCACAACGTGCCAACCACTCCACAACGTGCCAACCACTCCACAACGTGACAACCACTTCACAGCAAAATTGAATCAACACCTGTTTTCACAACCGAACTTTGTCTTGTAAAGAAAACGTAAGTCAGCTTTGATCTATGTAAACATCGCCCTCGTATACTCAGCTGTTGGGCCACGACATTGGATAATTGTTGACAACAATCTAATAGCACCAGACAAGCCAGCTTAAAGATGACACCATTCTTCCTGCTTGTACACCCTGACACCCCTCCAGCCCAAGGTGAGCAGAACCCGTGTGAGTAAAACAGGTCAGTTCGTGCGTAAGTTGCATCGATCTGCTATTGATTTGGAAACTCATTCAGGAAAAACCGGCGCTAGCCAATGGGAGAAGGGGAATATCGTGGCGCGCGACCCGCAGTCTGACGTCATCGGTGGCTTTTAAAGTGCGTTCATTAGAATCAAATGTTATCAAATGTAATGACATGTAATCAAATGTAATGACATGTGCATTGTTTTTGGGCTGGGTTGAACATAGTTTTGGGTTAAACAAACAACGACGGGCTGATTTAATTATGTCACAAAAAACCTGACCATTTTTAAATGCTACGAACGTGATGTAACTGTTGACACAAAGTCGTCGGGATTCATCTCTGTTGGCGTCATGCACAGCTGTCAGATATAATCGTCATCTACAGTATGGCTGTCTAGCTGTCAGCTAGAATCGTCGCCTAAAGTATGGCTTACGGTCCATGAATAGGGGAGGTGTTGACCAGTTTCTCTGCCCTCGGCATTGAAGTGATAGTGCGGTCAGCCCAGTCGCCTAATGTGAGTCAGGTACCCACCAGAGCTGCGTGAACTCAGGGACGTGATCCGAGCTCAAGACGCTCGGGTTAGCAGTCGAACGCTCTACCACTGGACTGTTACGTCTCTGACAGTAGTAGCAGAAACAGGCCACGAACCCCGCTAAAACCTAAGCCCACCCACATCCTGTAGCAACCACGCCCCTTCCTGATGTGTGTGGCGTCAGACAACACAGTACACGTATCCGGGTATACCCCCCCACCCCTTTACTCTAGCCTTCGGACAACATCTCGGACACGAGACGGTGGATGACCCACATGACCCACCCGCGCATCACATGACCCTATGCTGTATGTAGTGTGTCTATTGGTCAGTGGTCTACTGCTGGTCATCTAGTGGTCACTGGTCCACTGCAGGTCAGTATAGAACCCATTAGTGATTAGATGACCCAGGGGAAAAGGTGAGGCACCCCGTACAAACACAGAGAGCCCCCTGGCCCGTCCCTTACGTCCGCCAACAAGGTGGGGGGGGGGGGGGTCCAGGATATCCCCATAGCTCGCTGACAACATTGGGGATTTTTTTTAAAACAGGAACAGATTGGACTGGTGGACGACAGGTATATTTCTTTCTAGTCCTAGATTGGCGTTCATGTCTAACTGCGGCTGGGTATAATAATGGGAATTTAGGGCTATCCCATGATTAACTTGTGTGACAATGGTAAGATTATCCCATGATTAACGTGTGGTAAGATTATCCCATGATTAACGTGTGGTAAGATTATCCCAAATGACTGAGCTGCTCACAAAGGTGGCGATTAGAAGAGAGAGTATCTACAGTTGATCTCCCCCCCCCCCACCCCGCCTAAAAAGCCACCCGTAGTAATGAATTACACGAAACAAATGGCAAGGGGAAATAAAGTATCTACCACATGAGGAGGGAATAAAGAATCTACCACATGTGGAGGGAATAAAGAATCTACCACATGAGGAGGGAATAAAGAATCTACCACATGAGGAGGGAATAAAGAATCTACCACACGAGGAGGGAATAAAGAATCTAGTCCATCCAGAAAGTGTCAGACAACTCAACTGTTGACATGACGTGTATGCGAGTCCCCACTTCCCCCACCCCACCTGTCGTCCTTACTCGGTCATGTGACAAGAGCTTTCATTGATAAAATCCCCGGCACTCTCCAGGTTTATTTTTACCATATAAGGCAACGAGTTTAATCCAATGGAAATTCTCCTCACATCTCTCCCCGTGACCATTGTTTGGGGACAAAGGCGAAAAAGCCATTGACTGTCTTTTAAAAGATTAACAATGTGAAGGAGTTTAACTTTTAAGTGTAAAACCTAGTTTACTGGTAGTTAAAAAACCTAACAAATAAATAGCATAAATAGTATGATAGTCACCTGAATGTGACAATTTTTGTAGGTCAAAATTTGTGACAACAAGCCGCCCAATCTGGCCACACAGACAGGACATGAATGGCGGGAAAAGAGTCAACAAACAAAAGGATGAATCGAGGTTACTTACGCTAAGGCCAGACTCCATATTAGGCAACAAGGTCACGTGACTCTCGTCTGGGATGTGATGGTCCTGTAGGCAACCGTTCTTTAGTACACTGTAAACAAACAACAAACATCTTTAGTACACTGTAAACAAACAAACATCTTTAGTACACTGTAAACAAACAACAAACATCTTTAGTACACTGTAACCAAACAACACACATCTTTTGTACACTATAAACAAACAACAAACATCTTTAGTACACTGTAAACAAACAACATCTTTGTTACACTGGAGTCAGCCGAAAATACAGCTAAACTATCGTTTTTCGAAAGTTTGAGGGGCAAACAGAAAGTTTGAGGTGGGGGGTGCAAATCGAAAGTTTGTCCCCGGGCGCCGGGAAGGGTCGCTACGCCTCTGACTGATACAGACCATAGATAAAGAGAAGTCATGTTGACACAAACGTCAACTGATCTAATCGTGACATTTGAACTGTGAACTAATCTAATCGTGACATTTGAACTGTGAACTAATATAATCGTGACATTTGAACTGTGAACTAATATAATCGTGACATTTGAACTGTGAACTGATCTAATCGTAACATTTGAACTGTGAACTAATCTAATCGTGACATTTGAACTGTGAACTGATCTAATCGTGACATTTGAACTTTGAATAGATCTAATAGTGACATTTGAACTGTGAACTGATCTAATCGTGACATTTGAACTGTGAATAGATCTAATCGTGACATTTGAACTGTGAATAGATCTAATCGTGACATTTGAACTGTGAATAGATCTAACCGTGACATTTGAACTGTGAATAGATCTAATCGTAACATTTGAACTGTGAACTGATCATGACATTTGAACTGTGAACTGATCTAATCGTGACATTTGAACTGTGAACTGATCGTGACATTTGAACTGTGAACTGATCGTGACATTTGAACTGTGAACTGATCGTGACATTTGAACTGTGAACTGATCGTGACATTTGAACTGTGAACTGATCGTGACATTTGAACTGTGAACTAATCTAATCGTGACATTTGAACTGTGAACTGATCTAATCGTGACATTTGAACTGTGGACTGATCTAATCGTGACATTTGAACTGTGAACTGATCGTGACATTTGAACTGTGAACTGATCCCTGTGTTGACCGAGATCAGAAGTTAGCTCGGCTGTGCACTCCACGCTCTACCAGCAGTTTGCCTCGGTTAAACGTAACGATGACGTACATTGGCTAAAATTAGAAACTAAGTCATGTCAAGCTGCAAAACAAACGTTAAAAAAAATTAAGTAGGTCACCTATGTAAAATGGATGCACAGCACATCTAAATTTAGTCGATGTAGACCGTTAGAGGAATGTTGCTGAATGTGAACCAAGTTAATTCATTGGGAACCAAGTTAATTCGCTCTCTTAATTTATTTCCTAGAAAAACCAGCGTGTTGTGGCAGACATTGTGTCAACCAGCGTGCCGTCACGTGCTACACAAGAGCACGCAGACTGCTACGTCACAGTGACGTGATGCACACACAACACAGCTGTTTATAGTCTCGCTTCTCCACACTCGAGGTGCCAACTAAAAGTCTGCACGGACAGGGGTAAAAATGTAACCCAGATTCGTGTACTCATTGAGATTAGGTTTTGGATCAGGGGTTACTGGGTCAATGGTATGCATGATGTTGCGTGGCTCACAGGCTACGTGTTGTCGAGGTGGCCTCAGTGTATAGAATGGTTAGATCTATATAGTTTAGATAGGTCTACCGTGTCTAGATGTACAGTATGGAACCCTTGTACGTTTTTTTTTTTCAATGACCAGAAATTATCAGACACCCAATGATAGCCCTAACATTACTGGGCCGTTGTGAAATGGCCAAATTCGGTCAATAATGCTTCAACCATATCCCTATTAAAGGTACCAATATAGTGTACCCCCTTTTTCAGAGTCAATATATTAGTATTTTTTTTCAGCATCAATAAATTAGTGTAGAACCTCGACAGAATATTCTAGTTAAACCCCCCCCCCCCCCCTCCCATCCTAGATAACAAGAGTCAATTTTTAAGACTGTCCTTTATATGACGTCACTATCACCTGTTATTTTTTAAGTTGTTTTTTTTGTCGCCGTGGCACGGTGCGTTAAATGTGGGGGGGGGGGAGGGGGAGGGGGGAGCTACGCAGGTACAGTTGGCTTTACTACGCACCGCTGCTAACGTACCAGGTGACCTACCCCCCCCCCCCCCCCCCCCCAACATCTGGGTGTGGGCTGGCACACAAAAATGTCCTTTCGTCAAATCAAAGTTGGGATGGAGTACACAAACACGCTGCAGTTTTCTTGAATAAAGGCCAACGGTCAGCTGCCAGTACTATTTTTAGAAACCAGGTCGCACTTTAGCCCGCCCCACCTTGACACAACAGTACCACACAGCTCAGGTGTGGTGGTCAGCAGGTTCGTGTGGTGGTCAGCAGGTTCGTGTGGTGGTCAGCAGGTTCGTGTGGTGGTCAGCAGGTTCGTGTGGTGGTCAGCAGGTTCGTGTGGTGGTCAGCAGGTTCGTGTGGTGGTCAGCAGGTTCGTGTGGTGGTCAGCAGGTTCGTGTGGTGGTCAGCAGGTTCGTGTGGTGGTCAGCAGGTTCGTGTGGTGGTCAGCGGGTTCGTGTGGTGGTCAGCAGGTTCGTGTGGTGGTCAGCAGGTTCGTGTGGTGGTCAGCAGGTTCGTGTGGTGGTCAGCAGGTTCGTGTGGTGGTCAGCAGGTTCGTGTGGTGGTCGGCAGGTTCGTGTGGTGGTCAGCAGGTTCGTGTGGTGGTCAGCAGGTTCGTGTGGTGGTCAGCAGGTTCGTGTGGCGGTCAGCTGGTTCGTGTGGCGGTCAGCAGGTTCGTGTGGTGGTCAGCAGGTTCGTGTGGTGGTCAGTGTGGTGGTCAGTGTGGTGGTCAGTGTGGTGGTCAGCAGGTTCGTGTGGCGGTCAGCTGGTTCGTGTGGCGGTCAGCAGGTTCGTGTGGCGGTCGGCAGGTTCGTGTGGTGGTCAGCAGGTTCGTGTGGTGGTCAGTGTGGTGGTCAGTGTGGTGGTCAGTGTGGTGGTCAGCAGGTTCGTGTGGCGGTCAGCAGGTTCGTGTGGCGGTCGGCAGGTTCGTGTGGTGGTCAGCAGGTTCGTGTGGCGGTCAGCAGGTTCGTGTGGTGGTTAGTGTGGTGGTCAGTGTGGTAGTCGGCAGGTTCGTGTGGTGGTTCGTGTGGTGGTCAGCAGGTTCGTGTGGCGGTCAGCAGGTTCGTGTGGTGGTTAGTGTGGTGGTCAGTGTGGTAGTCGGCAGGTTCGTGTGGTGGTTCGTGTGGTGGTCAGCAGGTTCGTGTGGCGGTCGGCAGGTTCGTGTGGTGGTCAGCAGGTTCGTGTGGCGGTCAGCAGGTTCGTGTGGTGGTTAGTGTGGTGGTCAGTGTGGTAGTCGGCAGGTTCGTGTGGTGGTTCGTGTGGTGGTCAGCAGGTTCGTGTGGTAGTCGGCAGGTTCGTGTGGTGGTCAGCAGGTTCGTGTGGTAGTCGGCAGGTTCGTGTGGTGGTCAGCAGGTTCGTGTGGTGGTCGGCAGGTTCGTGTGTAGGTTAACAAGATGACACCTGGCCACCCCCCCCCCCCCCCCACACACAGAGTTGACTCACCTGAACAGACAGTCGTGTATTGATGTGAGCAAAGTTTCAACATCCCGGCGCGTCACGTGAATATATTAGGACTTGTGCAATACAACTGGGGGGTGGGGGTGGGGGGAGATAATGTGTCACAGACATCCATCTTTGGCTAAGTGACACGAACACAAATCTAACAACACTGGCATAGACATGGGCATAGACATGGGCATAGACATGGGCACAGACATGGGCACAGACATGGGAGACACCTGACCCAACCAGACCAAAGTGAGAAGTGCTGACGTCAGTTGTAAGATGACCCAGTCATTACCGTCCCAACTGTTTACCATATGCTACCCTATGGGAATGGGGGGGGGGGTGAAGACAGAAACCATATACTGTAGAAAATCTGTATCATACAGATATTCTACGATTGCCTGCCTATTCTCACGATTGCCTACTGTTATCACGATTGCCTACTATTCTCACGATTGCCTACTATTCTCACGGTGTAAGAAAACGTTCCGAACTTAGTCTTAAGACAGATGCGTGACGTCATATCCGGGTTTTATCACTGCTGTCTAAAGCCCTACAGCTGACGGTGGCTATAAATAGCTAGCACTTCTGGAGTCTTATAGTCTGACCAACGGCTTGACCACTGGATGTCAGCTGACCAGGCCACCGGGTGGTGGGGCTAAGCTGCTGGAGATTTCTCACTGACTTCTGCTTGTGTAACGGTCAAGAACTCAAGTCTGCTGCTGAATCGTAGGATTTTTTTGTTGCTATGTCGCAATCAGCGGCAAGATGAGCAGTGTCTGTGGGGGTGGGGGATGGGGTGGGGGGATGGGGTGGGGAGATGGGGAGGCCATTAACACAAATCACGTGATGTCATGACAAACGACCCAGATAAGGTAACGACAGCATACCCCCCCCCCCCACCAAATAATGTGTACAAAAGATGAGAGCATTTCTTAGACAAAGAGCGATCAGGTTTTAATGGTCACTGTGACGTCATCATTTGTTTACAAATCACGGGGAAATTAGAACGGGCAACATTCGGGTAAATGGTATCAGCAGAGGGAAACAATACCAAACGTGTATCCGATGGGGCAGCTTGGCAGAAAATTTGTATTGGCTAAAATATTAACACAATATTGGTAGCAGTAAACAACAGGTAAACAACTGCCGCCGTTAAAAACAAGGTTTTGCGCATGCCCACCAGTGGCGCGAGCAGCATCCAATGAGGAAGTGGCGAAACAGCCACGACACTCGGTCTTACAGCACTCAAGTCTGCTACACTGACGTCACTGTGACGTCAGGCGGAGACAAAAAGTGGGAAGGGTGGGGTGGATGAACGTGTGTGATCAACAAAGAAATGTCGCAGGATCGATTTGTTCTCCACCCCCCCCCCCCCACCACCACCGTTCAACTGCTCAAGATTAGAGCTCAGGTTTCATTGCGCAAATAGCGGGCAGGGAGGTGAAGCCTGACTGCTTTAATAAACTAGTGCGATATTCGCTACCTATCTGCCTTTGTCTGCTATAGCACCGGATGACCTGCTAATGGTTATTATTAACATTTCTCGAGACGTGTAATTATGCAGCAAGTGACGCTCTATGGGTTCACTGCACATTTGGACGGTTGATAAAGTTTCTACCCTACCTGTGTACATTTTGACGGTTGATAAAGTTTCTACCCTACCTGTGTACTCATCTGACCCTGATATTGGGAGATTGGGGGGGGGGGGGGGTGGGGTGGGGTCTGGCTTGTAAGAAATGTCGTTAGTTTTTGTCACGTGTGTAGTTGTCATGTTCGGTACATCCCGCATTAAACGGGCTGGTGTACTGTAGCCCCACCCCAGACATCCTGATGTACTGTAGCCCCACCCCCACACGTCCTGGTGTACTGTAGCCCCACCCCAGACGTCCTGGTGTACTGTAGCCCCACCCCCAGACGTCCTGGTGTACTGTAGCCCCACCCCAGACGTCCTGGTGTACTGTAGCCCCACCCCCAGACGTCCTGATGTACTGTAGCCCCACCCCCAGACGTCCTGTAGCCCCACCCCAGACGTCTTGGAGTACTGTAGCCCCCACCCACCGGGTGACACCATTTAGGGGTGACACTAAGACAAAAAAAGTGCAAGATATATAAAAAATGTTTTTTACCAGTTCAATGAATGGTAAATCAGTGTTAAAAAAGTACATAATGACGATCGTGACAAGGGAGGACGCCATGACGTAAACATGCAAACTATAGAGAATACAATACTACACCCAGCTTTATAATCAACCGACTCTAGATAAACATCAGTAGAATTAAATGTGAACACTCTAAAGCTTTTTCGGGGGGGGGGGGGGGGACACCAACTGGAAATTTACAGAGAAAAATAAAGGGGGGGGGGGTGACACAACGAGGTGCTGCCCGACCTAGTGACGCCATTGCTCCCACCCCCACGACGTTCTGGTACCCCTCAGACAGGCAGTATTTCCCTAAACCACCTATGGGCAACTCCGGATCACATTGCGTGATCTATCCAGTAGCCTACTCAATTCCAACAAGTTATGTTGGGAGCCTTCTTAGTTCACCAGCTGAATGCTGCTGTCGGATCAAATGCTTGTAACATACCATCTTCCATAAGTTAGATCAAATGCTAGTAACATACCATCATCTTCCATAAGTTGGATCAAATGCTAGTAACATACCATCTTCCATAAGTTGGATCAAATGCTAGTAACATACCATCTTCCATAAGTTGGCACAAATGCTAGTAACATACCATCTTCCATAAGTTGGATCAAATGCTAGTAACATACCATCTTACATATTTTGAACGCCGCCACATTTTTGAGTGTGTAGGACTGAAGCTCCACCCCCCGCCCTAGATCAGATTCAATACATACACCTAGACGTGACGTCACAGGTAGGCGGGCGGTGTCATAAAAACAGACAACTCGTGCAGTTAGGGAGGGGACGGCAAGGAAAAGTGGGCTCAGTTAAAGTTCTTCGGGGGGGGGGGGGGGGGAGAGGAAGGGATCAATACAGATAACACAGTTACCAGACAGCTGGTAGTCACATGACACGTGACCTCAGCCTGCTCGTGACATGGACATGAACGCAATCACCCGTGAAGGTTCTGCAGACACGCTCGTGTGATTTCACGAAACACTTTGGACGCGGATGAGTGGCCCAGACACGCAATTAACACAAAACATTTCTTGTGCGTAATAACGAGACCGCCAAACTTGTCGATAGCCTGTCCCACGGACGGCAACTATCTGCGCAGAAATATTACGTAAGGCGTGGGCAGCTGATTAGCCTGAGGGTGCTAGCCCCTGGTATGACCTCACTAACGGTTTAATCAGTCACACTACAGTGACCACCGTGGTTGGTTTAGGCTGTTGGTTGCTTGTGATGTGGAAATACGGTATCACGTGATCTATGATATAAGCACATCTTCAGACACCTACACCTATCGACAGCCAACTTACGGATGTGTAGGTCGAGTGTCGCAACACGCAGCACAGGTCGACACATGTGTAGCTATTGTTTGTTTACATCAATGTTTACATATGTCACGCCCAACCTTGCCAATTCAGATTTGTTAGGTCATGTAGAGTAATGGTCAGGTTATGTGTAGTATTGGTTAGGTCATGTAGAATTATGGTTAGGTCATGTAGAGTAATGGTCAGGTTATGTGTAGTATTGGTTAGGTTATGTAGAGTTATGGTTAGGTCATGTAGAGTTATGGTTAGGTTATGTAGGGTATTTGTTAGGTCATGTAGAGTTATGGTTAGGTTATGTAGAGTTATGGTTTGGTTATGTAGAGTTATGGTTAGGTCATGTAGAGTTATGGTTAGGTCATGTAGATAATTTTGTTAGGTCATGTAGAGTTATGGTTAGGTTATGCAGAGTATTTTTTAGGTCATGTAGAGTTATGGTTAGGTCATGTAGAATTATGGTTAAGTCATGTAGAGTTATGGTTAGGTTATGTAGAGTATTTGTTAGGTCATGTAGAGTTATGGTTAGGTCATGTAGAATTATGGTTAGGTTATGTAGAGTAAAAGTAAAAGCCTAACCCGTTGGTAAGGTGTAGACCGTGTGGTAAGGTGTAGACCGTGCGGCGGTGGTAAGGTGTAGACCGTGCGGCGGTGGTAAGGTGTAGACCGTGCGGCGGTGGTAAGGTGTAGACCGTGCGGCGGTGGTAAGGTGTAGACCGTGCGGCGGTGGTAAGGTGTAGACCGTGCGGCGGTGGTAAGGTGTAGACCGTGCGGCGGTGGTAAGGTGTAGACCGTGTGGTAAGGTGTAGACCGTGTGGTAAGGTGTAGACCGTGCGGCGGTGGTAAGGTGTAGACCGTGCGGCGGTGGTAAGGCGTAGACCGTGCGGCGGTGGTAAGGTGTAGACCGTGCGGCGGTGGTAAGGTGTAGACCGTGTGGCGGTGGTGGTGTAGACCGTGCGGTAAGGTGTAGACCGTGCGGCGGTGGTAAGGTGTAGACCGCCGCGAACAAAGAACTGACCCGCCCATGGAGGCGTGTAACTAAGTAAGTAGGTCACGGATCAATGCGGGGGTCAAACCGCAAGAGTTCACCACTTAGTAGGCGTGGCCCAGCACAGCTGTTTAAAACGAAACTCAAGCAAACAGGTTTTTCTCCCCTGTCCGAAAATGCAACCAGTGGTGGTATTTTTGGTTGGTATGTGGTTTTTTCTGGTGGTGTGTGGCTCGGGTTAGGGAACTGGTTGGAACATAGCCGGACGTGTCAAAATATGAACACAGAACCGATCCTATTTAAAACGATTTCTTAAGTCCGCCAATGCTGGCCTAACACAGGGCTGTGTCGCACTGTCGTAGTCAGAACGGTGTCGCACGGACCCACCTCAAGTAGTTTTTTATCTAACCGACAAAAGATCATGGACTCCTGGGCCAAAACTTAAAATCACGACCCCCCCCCCCCCCACCCCCGTGTCAAGTCAACAAACCTCCCGTTATAAACATTGTTGACTGTTAGTTTTAGCTTTACATATGAAATGCTTAAATAACAATTTAACTGTTAGTAGTAAATAACTTTAGTCCTTTATGCTATAAGCTTTTGTATTTGACACAAAGTTAACAAGGTCTATATTGAAATATATAAATTGTAATCATTGGTAGGCACATTATTCACTATAAGTTAAACGCCTTAATTGTAAGCATATAGGGTTTATAATTTATAATTATGTAAATCATAAGCCTGAAGCATATAGTACAGAAAGTCCTACTAATGAACAGTAAAATAGAAGGCTACGAGAAAAAAGTAGTCTAAGCAGGTCTAAATATTACTACTAACAACTGCACTTAACTCTGCTCTTGCATTCATCTATTGGCGTGTGCTAACAGTCTCAAACCCTCACCAAGCCCACCAACCAACCTTCACCAAGCCCACTACCATCCCACCAACCAACCCTCATCAAGCCCACCAACCAACCCACACAAAGCCCACCAACCAACTCTCACAAAGCCCACCAACCAACCCACACAACCAGCCCACCAACCAACCCTCACCAAGCCCACATCAGCCCACCAACCAACCCACACTACCAGCCCACCAACCCTCACCAAGCCCACCAACCAACCCTCACCAAGCCCACATCACAGCGTGTCTACGATTCGATAGATGAACGTCTGCCTGACGGTGACTCACCAGATCTATAATGTCGACAGCAGATGAGAACAAAGGCTGGGCTAGGGGTAGCTTTATTTTTCTACACCCTGACCCCCGGCCACCCCTGACCCCCGGCCACCCCTGACCCCCGGCCAACCGTTAAACTAGACACAATGACTAGAAAAAATCTAACAACGAAGCGGTGAATTTGATAAATGAGAAGTTGTACACACTGACCTGGATTTAGGACTTGGTAGAACAATGGGACCCAGTTAAACTCAGAGGTTCAAGTTCAGAGACAAATAAAAACGTTGTCAACTTACGTGTTTTTGTAGATGAGGGTGATCTTTGATGGGGCTACCCTCAACTTTCTGCCCAGGGCTGCCTTTAGGCCCGTCACAGTCTCTAGGGGTGAGACAGATATCTCGAGACGGCCCCCGGTCGTAGGGCACACAAAGAGGCGGATACAGCCGGGACGTCTGCGTGATGCCTTCACCCTAGACACAGATTTTCGGTTAGAAACGTGGAATTTCCTTTCCATAATTTCACTGACAACTCTGGCAACAAAATCCGCATCCACCGCATCCAGAGAACACAGCACAGTTTGTTCAAGTTTTAGTCCTATCCTCCACCTTCAAACTTTCTACTACAATGATTACACTCTGACCGTCGACGGCCTATTTCCTTTTTATACCATGACAGCGTATTGACCTAGCAAAGGTGGCCTGGACGAAACCATTGCGCGGTGAAGGGGCGGCAGCATCCAGTCGCGTTGATTGCGTTAGTCTCGTTCGTTGCACCTCGACTCGACCCCGCAGACGACACTAAGGTTACCGTTTACATGGTGACTGCTGCCTAATGTTAGAGTTAATTTTTTATTGCTGATTTTGGTTGGTCAAGTTTAAATAGATCTAGAGATTTTGGTAATGTAACATTTTTAACGAGTATTCATGTTTTATATTCAATTTTTGTTGCAAATATAATAGTCTAAAGAGATTAGACGGTGATTTTTGGTCGGTTCAGCATCCTCAGTGGCTAAAGCTGATGTAATGACGGATGACGATTGTGTTGACGATCAAAAGCTGGTGGTAAAGGACCACCTGCATCGATAGGCCTTCCGTTTAACAAACATGATAAGTATCAGTGGCGTAGCGAGGGGGGGGGGGGGGTGCAGACTGCACCGAGTGACACCATTTAGGGGGCGACACCAAGCCAAAAAATAGCAAAATATATAGAGAAAAATGATAATTCCACTTAATTAAGTGATTAATTTGAGTGTTAAAAAAGTCTTTTAAGAGCAAATTTGACACATCCCGACGGGGGGGGGGGGGGGGGGGGGGGGGGGGGTGGGGTGCAAACCGAAAGTTTGAGGGGAAGGGATGTGCAAATCAAAAGTTTGAGGGGGGGATGCAAATCAAAAATTGAAAGATTGTCCCCAGGAATGGTCGCTCAACCGCCCGCCTCTGGGGGGGGGGGGGGGGGGGGGGTGGTGTGTGACCATTTTACGTGCGGCACCGGGTGACACCCGGCCTCGCTACGCCACTGATAAATATAGCAAACCTCATGGCACTGTAACAAATTTGACTAAAACAGCGAAATGTGCTGAGTTCAGATATTCGCATGCAGTTCTTAGGCAGGAGAAAAAGGGGACGAGGGGGGGGGGTAATATACAGGGGAGGGGGGTTAATATACAGGGGGAGGGGATATAATATTTGGGAGTTATGAATGGGGGGGGGGGGGGGGGTTAATGTTCGACTCCCACATTGTAGCTAAACAACTACAAATTATTAAGCTACATTATATGAAATAACCGCAAACAACTAACGTGAAGGCGGCTGGTAATGAATCGATTGTAATTTTAGGACCACTTTTATAGAAATGCCCACGTTCTCAATATATTTATCCCAGTACCCCCCCTCCCCCCCATCACTCCCCATCATTAGACCCAGTACCCCCCATCACTTGTCCCATACCCCCCGCCCCCCCCCCCCATCATTTGTCCCATACCCCCCCATAATTTGTCCCATACCCCCATCACTTGTCCCAGTTACCCCCCCCCCCCACCATCACTTGTCCCAGTTACCCCCCCTCCCCCCCCATCACTTGTCCCAGTTACCCCCCCCCATCACTTGTCCCAGTTACCCCCCCTCCCCCCATCACTTGTCCCACATTTTTCTCTCCCCTCCTACTGCCTCCGTAAACTGCGTCACTTTTTGGACCAATTTTTTTTTAATCCCTTCCTTTTTCCTAAACACCGCACATTGTCACAAAAAAATGTACAAGTGTGACGTCACACTTTCTAAACAAATCTCCCTCGTCACATATCGTCACAAAAACCCAACACCCCTCCCTTCTCATAATGTGATAACTTTTATATACGACTGCAAGCGCAATCATCCAACGTTGCAACATATTTTCTTGACGTCATCATTCCAAGGCTAATTGACGCCGACGTCAGCGATTGTGACGTAGACCGGTGAAATTCTTGCCGTCACGTCACATGCTCATCTTTCTATTTTTACAATTGACAATTTCCACCAATACAAATGCTATTTTTACAACTTTTAATCTGATACATAGTTGAAATTGTTTCTATTTTCACAATTTTAAATATAATACGTGCTATAAAATAATTTTCTATTTTTTAAAATTTCATTCTAATAAGTTCTATTTATAGCTTCTCAGTGAGAAGCTAATCTAAATTTAAACTATACAAAATTAATTAAAACTCTTTACATTATGATCGCATTGCCTACTCATACAAGCTTGTATTACACACTATCACACATTTAACCCTCACACATTCATCCCCTCACACTCACACATTCATCCCTCACACATTCATCCCCTCACACTCACACATTCATCCACTCACACATTCATCCACTCACACATTCATCCACTCACACATTCATCCCCTCACACATTCATCCCCTCACACATTCATCCCTCACACATTCATCCACTCACACATTCATCCACTCACACATTCATCCCCTCACACATTCATCCCCTCACACATTCATCCCCTCACACTCACACATTCATCCCCTCACACTCACACATTCATCCCTCACACACTCATCCCCTCACACATTCATCCACTCACACATTCATCCCCTCACACATTCATCAACTCACACATTCATCCACTCACACATTCATCCCCTCACACATTCATCCACTCACACATTCATCCACTCACACATCCCCTCACACATTCATCCCCTCACACATTTATCCACTCACACATTCATCCACTCACACATTCATCCACTCACACATTCATCCACTCACACAATCATCCACTCACACTCACACAATCATCACTCACACATTCATCCCCTCACACAATCATCCACTCACACATTCATCCACTCACACATTCATCCACTCACACATTCATCCACTCACACATTCATCCACTCACACATTCATCCCTCACACATCCACTCACACATTCATCCACTCACACATTCATCCACTCACACATTCATCCACTCACTCACACAATCATCCACTCACACATTCATCCCCTCACAATCATCCACTCACACATTCATCCCTCACACATTCATCCACTCACACATTCATCCACTCACACATTCATCCCCTCACACAATCATCCACTCACACATTCATCCCCTCACACAATCATCCACTCACACAATCATCCACTCACACATTCATCCCCTCACACAATCATCCACTCACACATTCATCCCCTCACACATTCATCCCCTCACACATTTATCCACTCACACATTCATCCCCTCACACATTCGTCCACTCACACATTCATCCACTCACACATTCATCCCCTCACACATTCATCCACCTCACACATTCACCCACTCATACATTCATCCCCTCACACATTTATCCACTCACCACATTCATCCCATCCACACTCACACATTCATCCCCACACATCATCCACTCACATTCATCCACTCACACATTCATCCACTCACACATTCATCCACTCTACACATTCATCCCTCACACATTCATCCACTCACACATTCATCCACTCACACATTCATCCACTCACACATTCATCCAATCACACATTCATCCACTCACACATTCATCCCCTCACACTCACACATTCATCCCCTCACACATTCATCCACTCCACATTCATCCACTCACACATTCATCCACTCACACATTCATCCTCTCACCCATCCCCTCACACATTCATCCACTCACCCATTCATCCACTCACACATTCATCCCCTCACACTCACACATTCATCCACTCACACATTCATCCACTCACACATTCATCCCCTCACACTCACACATTCATCCACCCACACATTCATCCACTCACACATTCATCCCCTCACACTCACACATTCATCCCCTCACACATTCATCCACTCACACATTCATCCCTCACACATTCATCCCCTCACACATTCATCCACTCACACATTCATCCCCTCACACATTCATCCACTCACACATTCATCCACTCACACATTCATCCTCTCACCCATCCCCTCACACATTCATCCCCTCACACATTCATCCACTCACACATTCATCCACTCACACATTCATCCCCTCACACATTCATCCACTCACACATTCATCCACTCACACATTCATCCACTCACACATTCATCCACTCACACATTCATCCCCTCACACTCACACATTCATCCACTCACACATTCATCCCCTCACACATTCATCCCCTCACACTCTACACATTCATCCCCTCACACTCACACATTCATCACTCACACATTCACCCCTCACAACATTCATCCACTCACACATACATCCCCTCACACATTCATCCACTCACACATTCATCCCCTCACACATTCATCCACTCACACATTCATCCACTCACACATTCATCCACTCACACATTCATCCACTTCACACATTCATCCACTCACACATTCATCCACTCACACATTCATCCCCTCACACATTCATCCACTCACACATTCATCCACTCACACACTTCATCCCCTCACACATTCATCCCCTCACACATTCATCCCTCACACATTCATCCACTCACACATTCATCCACTCACACATTCATCCACTCACACATTTATCCACTCACACATTCATCCACTCACACATTCATCCCCTCACACATTTATCCACTCACACATTCATCCACTCACACATTCATCCACTCACACATTCATCCCCTCACACATTTATCCACTCACACTCACACATTCATACCACTCACACATTTTATCCACTCACACATTCATCCACTCACACATTCATCCTCTCACCCATCCCCTCACACATTCATCCCCTCACACATTCATCCCCTCACACATTCATCCCCTCACACATTCATCCACTCACACATTCATCCACTCACACATTCATCCCCTCACAACATTCATCCACTCACACATTCATCCACTCACACATTCATCCCCTCACACTCACACATTCATCCACTCACCTACATTCATCCCCTCACACATTCATCCCCTCACACATTCATCCCACTCACACATTCATCCCCTCACACTCACACATTCATCCCCTCACACATTCATCCACTCACACATTCATCCACT